ATACATGCAGTAACAAAATTGATAATGTGGAGAGCCAGAAATCTTTTAAAAATATATATGCAGAAGGGAAATATGAAATTTTCACAGGGTTTTGAAAGGTAAATTATTTTTTATTTACAGGGGAAGGTAACTTCTTTACTCTATAATGAAATTCAGTAAACTTCAACATAAATACCATTCACAGTTTTTAAAAGTATGTATGGAAAAAACTTACTGGAAAAAAACAAATTAATTTGGAAGACTTCATGCACAAGATGAATTTGGAAGCTTTTGAACTAGTATCCAAAGCACAGGGTTTATCTGTATAGAAGGTAATTGGATACTGAAGTCTCTGACGGGTTTGATGACTTTCTTACCCCTTCAAGAAGGTTTACTAAGAGAGAGAGCACCAAGAGTGATTTAGCTGGTTGATTTGCTATATTTCCTTAATACCTTATAGTTTTCTTATTAGAATGGCACTCACAGAGATTKTTACCTGCCATGTGACAGAGATAATATTTACTTATTTTTTAATAGACTTATTATTTTTAAATTTACCACAGAATTCCATAGCCTCAGAGGAAAAGYAGTGACATTGAAAGTCTCACAGATAATGTGGACTTGGGTTCTTTCCTTCTGTTCCATTTTATGAGGTATACATGTTACATTAGTAGCACAAATGCAGATTATGATCATGCTTGCCRTTAACTACAAATCAAGTGTTTTGTACACAAGTCGTGGTGTGATTTAGTGACTTCGTGTAGCGTGGGATTTGTGGTCAACTTTCTTAGCCTCAACAAGGGTGAAATACCTAGAAAAGAGGAAGGATGGATTTGTGGTTTGAATATGAAGTTGTAACACAAGGCATCTGTTCCTCACTTGATGACAGATTATTTGATTTGTGGGAAAGTGATTTTCTGTTCCTTAATTTCTGCTTATGTAAATGGGAGTGTTACAAAAACTATTGCCTGATTCTGCTGAATAGAGGACTTAATTTATTAACATTCATAATGTGCTTTAAGACAAGGAGGAAGTCAATATTAAAAAAGTGAACTWGAAAGAATTTACTCATTTAATACCTTCCTCAAAGAAAAGTTACTYGGCAGTAGAATACCCAGAAAGTAATATCTTCTACTGGTGTGTTTATGTTCAATTCATAGGGATGTGTAACAATGAAGATATATTTTAAAGTTTTCTGTGTGATTTCTGTCATAGCTWCCATATTCTATCATCTACCATATTTATCAATATCTGTCAGCCTAAAATATCTACCACTCGTATCTTTTATCCTCTTTTTTAATATATTKCCTGTCCTGCTGATGCCAGGGAGTATTTCAGAAACTGCTTCTGTTCTATTGGTTTTCCCTCTTGGGAATGGTTATAGTAACAAAGAGCATATAAAAACCTGGGCTTCATCCTGCTGCAGAAGYTGGAACACTGAGACAGCTGGGCAGAGCCTACCCCATGTGAAGTATAATAGTGTTGCCAGAGAGGAACAGGTCCCATGTACACGAGGAAGGCTCATTTCACTAGAAAAAACTGAAAGTAAGCTTCTACTCCTCAGAACCGTGTTTCCTGTTGTTTACACGTGCTTTYAGTTGATGTTATTTGTATTACCGGTTACATGTATTGCTCATGGCATTGGTTCTTTAATGGAATAKACACTGCAAATATACTCTTCACTGCACTGTTGTGGATTTTTGAAATGTGACTATTGTCCTGAGCAGTACATTGAACACGTTCCTGCATGTGTAGTTAAACTGCAGTGTGTCAGATGTCACTCTGTCACACCTGYCATCTCAGGATCAGCTGCTGTCCTCACCTTTACCCTCCCTGTGGCAGAATTAGCAAGACCCTCYCTCAAAGCATTTCGTCACTCTCTGCTGCCTTATCACCAGAATTCAGTTCTGTGTGCAGTCAGGTGTACCTTTATCACATTATGGGGTAGAATACGGAATAGAATACATAACTGGGGATTCATTCCCTCAGAAATTATAGATAATTCAGGACCTAATGGGTTTGCTAATGGCATGGCCAGCTGCAAGAATTTCAGCTGCAAGTATTTTTTACTCTTCCTTTGCTCTCAATGCAGTGTATCTTATCAAGAGTAGGGTCTTGATTTGCAAAGAAGGGTCTCAATCTGAGCTCAATATACCCGTGGGACTAAAAGTCTGAGATGAGGATCATGACTGACATTGTGGCTTCTTTGGCACAAGGCACAAAAAGATAATTATGGAGGAATGGAGAAGAGTGAAATAAGGAGGAAAGATCACTATGCTTGCACAAAATGAAYACCTTTTCAGGCAAAATACACCATCCTATGTGTTTTGACCTTTTTATAYACAAGGATAGCAGCATTGCTGTTTGAAATACTGTCCTCCTCTGTGTTTCTGCTTCATTGTTGCTAATTTGCAACTAAAAACTTGATTATCATGTTATGCTTAACCAAGTGTATTACCAATACTTTGAAAAACTTTCTCGGACACTTGGTCTAGTCAATCATCTGAGTCCTTGATGCACAGCTGCTGAACTTCTATTAGTTAAGTCTTGCTGAACATCAGGTCAGCCCACCCAATGCTATCAGCATTTTTCTGGACTTTCATACTGCTTCACTAAACATAAGGCAGGAAAGGCTTCTTTCTTATTGTCATACTGCCAACAACTTCTCCATCTTCTGTGTAGTATCTAGATGCATACCCACACAACTTTATACACCTTTAACWCATCAAGAGATTCTGGTTCTTTGACAGCTCACCCAGTAATCCTTCTACTGTCTTGCAGAAAACTGAGAAACTGCCTTGTTAAGAAAACTCCACTAGTATTGATAAACTAATGCCATAACAAATGAATTAATAAATGACTGGATGTTCAGCCCCACTGATGGGTATGGAAGTGTAATATGTGATCTTTCAGTGACTGGTTGACTATTTTTTTGGGCTGATGTTCCAAAACAAATTGTAAAGGCAGCAAAAGTAACCAAGAGCAGACAATCTTAATTAGAGGAGGCACCATGTCTGACCAGCACACTAGTATTAATGTACAAGAGAGCCAAGCAGGCTGCTGAGGAAATCTTAAATACTCAGTGCAGTCTGGAGAGATTAAATGATCTTACTGTCATTTGTGAGTGTGCATGCTTTAAAGGAATAGTGTGTGCTTTAAAGTTGCTGTGTACATTAAGTACCATCATGCAGCATTGCATTAAAGGAATTGATTTTATGGCATGTCCCTTTGGACGTGAGAGGGAAAGTGTCAGGTTGCCCTAGACCTTAACTCAGAGTGATGTTCAAATGTTGGTTTTGGCACTTGACCTGAACTTGGCTGTAGTGTAATTTGTGGATACTTTCTTTTTYCTGCGAGTTGGAAAGGCACATGCAGATGCTGTTACCAGAAAGAAATCCTTGTGGTTATCACAAATAGGATATATCCCCATTTGCCTATTAAATCTTGACAGTGATTTCACTATGCATGGTCTGTTATACCACATCACACATCCAAGTGGAAAGAAAAAAGTGATCAATCAGTCAAAAGCTGGAAGTCAGCTCTGTATTTCAGCAAGGATCTAATACAAGCCAGATGCTCTTGTGCCTTTCCCAAACAGCATTGTGTCATTGCCTTCACTGTTTGGCTACGAGCTTCTCRTGTGAATGGAGAGAACCAGGTTTGGTCCTCAGTGCAGTTTTTATATCTGAGTCCTCTAACGGGGCATGCATGTTATCTGAGCACAGGTACAAGCACTTTGCAGAATCATCACCTTGTAGCTTCTACAGTTGTTTTTTTCTGTGTCTGAAAAGWTCTGGGCTGATGCTATGATCATCATGAAGAGACCAAAAAATAGGGAAAGGAGCATTGGAGGGAGGCTTCCTGCTCAAACGTGAGCAGAAAGTGGTAAAACCATTCTGTTGAAGGGTGTAATTTTTGAAGGCTTACTGGCACAATTTGTATCTTGTGCAGAAAATGGCTACTTTTGTGCAGTGTTTCTTGAATTTTCTGTGAAGTGTTTTGAGGTTGGAAAATGCTCTAGCACAGTACTACCAACTCAAATCTGAAACTTTAAGTCGTRGTTGGCATCCAACTGCTTCCTGAAGGGTTTGGCTTTGTGTCACAGCACAAACCAAAGAAGATCTTTGTTTTCTGCTTCTAAGCTACAGCCAGACCCTCGTAGGAACAGCTGATGAGCTTTCGCCTTGATGTAGGCACAAATGAAACCAATGCTGCAACCCAGTCCAAGTTGTCAACCCATCTGTCTGTAATCAGGGAGATCTCAGGACAGTTCTGAGCCTAAATTGGTGAGAGGCTGTTATTAAAAATGTCCTTTGGTAAATCCCAAAGCCATGGTTCATGGAAACCAAACAAAAATAATGTATTTTAACATGTTAATGGTGAGTATAGATGCAGTCATTGGTGTCAGTAGCCATGCAAGCACATCACATGCTGTGTGGCTGGTGTTTAACTTGTTCACTTTTTCTYCTGGATGGGAGTTGGGACACCTGATATCACACACACCAACACCTGAGAGCTATTAATAGGAGTGCTTGAGCCAGAAAAAAACACAAACAGCTTGTAAGTCTTTCAAAAAGAATTTTTGTTGTTGGGGAGGTTTGGCTGGTAAAAGAGGGCCAAATCTTAACATCCTTGGCTTTAGATGGGAGATTTGCTTGCAGAGAAGAGGGCGTAACCATCTTCTTTCAGGAAGTTCAAGATACAAAAGCTCMTGATAACAAAGCCCACCCTTCTTAGTGCCCCCAGACTGCGGTTTGTGTCTCGCTGTCCGCGGAGCCGGGCTCGTCGCCGCTCCCTCCCGCCCCAGGTGTCCCCTCAGGCCAGGTGCCCCTGGCAGGGGAAGGCGGGCGGGCCGGCCGTGGGCGCCTCTGCCGGGGGCGGGCGGCTCTGCCGCTCCCCGTGCCGCGCCTCCTCCGCCCGGCAGCCAGGCGGGCGGGCAGGGACCGGGAGAGGGAGAAGGAGAGGGAAAGGGAGGGTGCGGAGCTCGCCGCCGCCCCGGAGCTGTGGCAGCGCGGCCGGCCTGGGCGGCAGCCGGACCCCGGCCCGCCCGGCAGCGCCTCCGCCACCGCCGCCCGCCCGGGGCCGCTTCGGCGGCCAGCGGAGCCCCCGCCAGCCATGGAGCTCTCCCTGCGGCTGCTCCTGGCGTCCTGCCTCTCCCTAGGGGCGGCCGGGGAGTTTGACAGAAGGTAGGAGCGGGGAGAGCGGGGTGGCGGCCGGGACCGGCCGGGCAGGGCGAGGTCGGCGTTCCCTCGGGCAGCTCGGAGCTCCCGCGGCGAGAGCGGGGGGGAGCCCGAGCTCTCCCCTCGCCACGCCGGGCGCCGTGGTGGCCCCCGGGGCTGTCTCCCGGCGGGAGGGGCGGCCGGAGCCCTCGGCGGGACTGGTGTCGGTGTTGCCGATGCYGCCGCAGGTGGAGGCGCGGGGCTGGCGGTGCCGCTCCGGGGGATCCTCGGCCGGGGCCCTCCCGGCCCCCCGAGCCCCCCGCCCCAGCCGAGTGCSGCGCCTTGCTCGGCGCCCCAAACACGGGCTCAGGTATAAAACAACTTCACTGCTCTGGMGGGGCTGCGTCCCGCAAGAATTAAAAACAAAGCGCATCGCGTGCTGTAGAGATAAAATTAGCTTATTGACGCCTGCAGGCACTTGAAACAGACGGCGGCGGAGATCGCGACTCAAGTTTTAACACGAAGCTCGGGGCCCGCCGGCCGTGCCGTGTCGTGTCAGGTGTCGCGATCGGAGGCACTGCGCTGTGCGGAGCGAGCGGCCAGCGCGACCCCCGCCCTCCCCATGGGTCGGGGTTTTTAGGTGTTTTTTTTTGGTTTTTTTTTGTTTTTTAAATGCAGCGTTCACGGGACTTCGTGACATTACTGATTCGTGTCAATACTTTGAAACTGCGTGAGGCCGTGGTATATTTTCCTTGGAACAAGGAAAGACTACAGCTCTCCTTTTGTAATTAATTAATGTTTAACAGTCCAAGAAGCTTTTGTTTTGATTGTTTTTTCTTTTAACGATTCAATGAGAAAGTTTGGCCATATCATGGGGAAAACTGCCATATATTGTGAAATAAAACAATGTCTAAATTTTATGATGGCGTTTATTCCAAAATAAAAATTCTGTTTCAGACTTCCGAAGCTGTTCAGTGCCATCCTGGGAGTGGCAGCAGTGAGCRTACTGCAAAGCATGTCAGCTTTTTCAGGCTTTGCTGGGTTACCCTAAGTTATCTTCTGCACTTTCACCTATTGTCATTTGCATTTTTTGAACTAAACARAGCATTAATGTTAGAAGTATCCTAGGCCCGGCTGAGAGCAGTTATTCTCTTCCAGAAAAGAAAAACAAGTTTACCTATTTCAATGTAGGGGAAGTTTTTGTTTGTCTATTTCTTTCTTTGATTGGTGGGTAGGTTGTTTTTTCTTTTTACTCTAGATTGATTTTAGCTACTTCCAGAATGTTTCACCAGACTTTGTTGAACTGTCTTGTACAGGTGGCCCAGACAAATAGTCTCGTCTGCAGGACTGTGTCGGTTTGGAAGCAGAATTGACTGCTGCTGGGGCTGGGCCCGAGTGGCCTGGGGACAGTGCCAACGTGAGTATCACTGCTGCTGGGGCTTCTAGTCACTTGTAGAGAAGGCTCGTACACACCCAGTCACGTCTTTCACATGTTCACACACATTCTGACAGTGCAGGGTTTAGGCTTTTGCACATGTGACTGACTTTGAAGGATGTTGTTATGTTAAAATTCTCTCTGTTTTTAGCAGTACTAAAAACGATTGCAATCAAGTAAGCTAAAATGGAGTTGGGGCAATGAGAATTTGGAAGTTTSTTTTTGGTTTTTCCTCCTTTCATGCTCTGACCTGATAACCTGGTGTAACTACACTGTGTCGTGTTACAGGCACTGCAGGGTGATAATATTTGCATTGCAGAAGGAAACCCAGATTACTGACATTTCATTTAGAAAAYTGATGGAAATGTTGCAATTAGTATGAAGTTCAAGCATTCTTTCAGTAACCCCAAACTAAGGGAATAAATCTGCCTGACAGCATCCTTTTAGTGGGTCACATGTGAAGGGAAACTTCTCTGAGATTCCCACATCCATCTACAATCTTTGATGTAAATGCAGGATAAACCTGTAGATAAGACTTCATCATTAACTACACCTTCAATAGGTATTCTGTGGAGGCAGCTAGTAGTGTGTAGAAGTTAAAATTGTTAGGAGTGTTGTAGAGACCTCAGCTTGCTAAAATTAAAGCCTTTGATACTGGGGATGCTCACTCATGTGTTTGATAATGCATGCATGAGGAACACCCTGAAGTTTTTGCAGGCGCAAGCCTATAAACACTAGCCCTTAGCTTTTTATTTTACATTTGTATCTAAATAAAGAAAAGTATGTAGATGAGGTCATTTTCTGCCAAGCCATTTTCGAAGTAAAACAGGTGTTAAATGCTGTAAGTTTCATAGTCAGCAGTGACTGTAGAGGGCAAATATTTGGCAAAAGATRGAAAAAGCCTTGAAAATGCAACTCTCAGCAAAGGTTTTGTTCAAATCTGTAAACAGCAGGACTGGTTTCTCTCTACCCAAGTATATCAGAAGCCCACAATATTTAATAGATACGCAAGATGACTAATAAAAAGCTATGGAAAGTACTTCTGGAATATAACATCCCTGGTAGTATTTCTTTGATGGTGAGTTCTCAGGCTGATACCTCTYGGGCCATCCCAATAATAATTTTGATTTTTAGGGCTCTAATTGCTAACAAGTAGTCCTTTCCTTGGTGTGAATATTTATAAAGAAGGAAGGAGAATATGTAGTAAACTGATTGAGGCAACTCCAGACATGACAGAATCTATGTCCACCTTTCATGATGCAGTTTTGTTTGAAGATCATTGTRTGTTTAAATGTTTGAGGCTATGAATGCTTAACTGGCAAATATCAATAATTTGCATTGTTTAAAAGAACCAGACCAAAACAAAATGTCCAGGCTATTGTCTCACTCTGTTCATTTTCTTAGACAAGTTGTCTCCGATGTTGTGACCGTAAATTACAGCTCATGTTTAGGTGGAAGTCAATTTCTCATTATTACCAAATCTGATTTGTGGTTGCATYTTTATGATCTTGGGAGACAGGAATAGCGTAAAGTGATACTATCAGAAGATTCATAATTAAAATTGGAAATGAGACAAAAGTAATAGTACAMAGAAAGTATGTTTTATTTTTTGTTCTTTGAATTTTGCCAGTAAGGTAATTTCTAGTGCTGGCTTTTCCAGATACTATAAATGCTCTTTTTTTCTTGAGGCTAAAGAAGGTAGGTGAATTCTCACCTCCTTCCACTGCATTTTAGTCCATTATTCACAAATTTGTCTCCATGCACATTTAGAAGACATGTAGAKATGTATTTTCTGTGATCATCTCCTGTAGTTGGAGCCAGACTTTCAAAAGAATCCAGTTACCACCTAGGTGTCAAAAGRTATTTTTCCCTTTTTTTTCTTTGCATACTGATAATTTTTGAATTACTGRTTCTGAAGAGTCTCAAATATTTAGGTGAAAATTTTACTAAAACCATTAGCAGCTCTTTCTCTGTTTTAAATGGGAGCCAAACTCTGGGCAAAATAAAGCAAGAAAATCTGCCCCAGTTGCGGGTGGTGAAAATTCCAGACATATCACAGAGCAGGAGATTACACTAAATGAAAGTGAATCTTTCTAGTGCTTACAGCCAAACAGAAAAYCTGTAGTCAGCTTTTTACCTTGGGAATGTGGTGCCCAGTATGAAGGATTAATCTGGCACAGAAGGCAACATTCCTGGCCTCAGAGGAAAACTTGTGTGTTTTACTGTACTAAGGAATATCACTGAAAATGTTTCAAAAAGCCAAGTATGTAATTGTTTCTTCCGTTTTCTCTGTGGTCAAAGGTAAAATTCTTAGCCCTGCCTCCAAAAAGAGTGGCAGAAATAGATGTAGACTTTCTCTACTAGATGTGCATTTTCTTTTAAGTTGCATTTTTCGCGTAAGTTGTATTTGCACAAGTAAAACAAGTATAGAGTCAGGCTTAAAAATTAGCAGCGAGACCTAATTTACAAATGTCTCCATAAAAGAACCTTCAGAGATTTAGGCAATAATGCTGAGCCCTTTATTAGTGAGTTTGAACTGCTGTTTTTCAAGCCAGTTTGAGCCATCCCTGGTATGCCTGAAACTGCCACAGCACCTTTGGACTCTCACCTGCTTACTCATGCATAATTTACCATGTGCACACTAATTATCTCAGAATTCATCCTTCTGACAGCAAGTGTAGTGTGGGAGCCATGCTGGAGCCAGAATGGAGCAGGCACATAGACTCAGATACAGGACAGGATGGGCCCAGCTTGCAGACACCTCTGAATCGTGATGAGCCAAGGGCAAGTGTTCTCTAAYACACCTGGATATGTTTTCTACTGTCCAGCTGAGCTGCCCCACCAAGCTGGTGTGGGCATGTCCTCTCCCACAGCTGTTGGGGGAAAATGTTCTAGTTCGAACTAACTGTGATTGAAGGTAATGGTTTAATTGTGACAAATGCTTAAACCTGCGTAGKTTGGAGCAGGAGTATTGTGTAGCTGACAAGCACCATTGAGAGGCCTTAASCCTTGGTGACTTCCTCCCTGCACCTGATTTTCCATCCATAATCCATCTGTACAGTTGCAAATGGAAACTGAGCTGTGTGAGCTAAACTTGGTTTTGTGCAGTGTGAAGTTACTCCTTTTATGTCCCTGGCTGGCAAACGAGTGCCTGTAGAGCATAATGGTGTTTAGTGCTGCTTAGTAACACCAGCCAGCAGAACTCAGCTGTCTTGTGCTCTTATAAACATGTTGGAAGAAGTTGAATTAGGGCCCTCCTTTAATTTACACTCTTTACAACATCCTCTGTGTCCTCTTTACACCAACCAAGACTTGTGCACGAAGGGCTGATCTGTCTGCAAGCTTGTTTCCAAAGCCTGTCAATGTCAGCTGTAACATCTCAGCTGGTAGAAATATTCTCTCYGCAGTGACATGGCACTCCCTTCCTAAATGCCTTTTCCAGTTCCAACAAATGTGTTTAGAAGGTGTCCTTCCRACTGAAAAAATGAAGAACTTTGATAGAGGTTGGATTTTGTTTTTCTTTCTTGCAGGTTTTGAACACCAAAGTGAGATCCATGTTCAGGCAACTAGATGCATTTTGAGATTGATAGAAATACAGGCATATTTTCAAAGGGGTTTTACAAGTGTAACTCACATTCATTGACATTTCTTAGTCCTTATTAGTTGAAAATCCATCCCCACTTGTTTCGTGGCTCAGATTTAGAACTGTGCACGTCTTCCACCARTAACATAACTAAGTAGCTTTTCTTAGATTTTGATTTGGTGTGTCGAAAAGGTTCATTAGTTAAACCTGGAATGTAGAAAGGCTAATTTGGAAACAGCAGAAATGTTGTTTAAGCACCAACTATTAGCTCCCARGAAGTGCCCTCTTCATTGACAGAGCTGATCCATTATACTGATGGACTAACAGCATCAATGCTCTTAAGTTAGATTTTAAATATCCCACTTGAAATTAGTCCAAAAATCCCATGTTGTTGCCCAGCCTGCAGGATTTACTCATGCTTTAATTAGTAGGAGTGGGAGTAATAGCTGTGAGTGGGAGTAATCACCCAAAAGCCTACCTCTGTGAAAGATGGTATGTTGATAAAGTGCCTGATGAAATGTGTGTAAAAATAGGGTTGTTGTCTTGCTTTGTGTCTTCTTCTTGTGCACGCAGCTGAACTGTAGCCCAGAGCAAAAGTGAGGGTAGAATTAATTTCTTCTGGATTTCTTCTCTCAGAGTAGGCGAGGTGACATCCTGTGACAGATTGTTCTTGGTGAGAGTGGGTATCAGTAGTGAATTTTTCATTCCTAAATCCTTTTGCATTGTAAAGCARCTGCATGTGTAGTACTGAGTGTGTTGTCCTAACCCAGAACCCATTCAATGGGTTTTAAAGGACACAGGGAAAAACCAAGTTGGGATGTGCGGCATTGCATGCTTCTTGCAGAAATGAAAAAAAAAAAAAATTGTGGTGTTAGGAAAATTAATCCACAAGCACCAGAGGTTTATATCCAAAAAGGAGACAGAGGAATCCTGCAACTTCATTAATGAATAAAGGGAGAGGTCATGGGCATTTCCCATGCGGTCTCTCAAATTCATAGAGGACACAGCCTCCTTTTATCCCAATTTCCCRGCCRCVGKTCCSTCTCTCTTTCCCCATTGGCTGAGGTACTTGAAAGTTACAGGCTCCCCGAAACACCTGATGAAACCCCCCTTCTATCATAAATTGCCCCCTTTCAATATACATCTCTGTGTCTCTGCTCAGGTAGTCTATTAACATAGACTGGGGTAAGCCAATCAGTAGAATTTCTATGCAAATCCTTCCTATTGTTTCTTTCTATCTCCCAATATCAGCCTTATCTCACCCCAGAGTCAGAGTCTGTTTGTAAAGACACTACCTTCTCATTCCTTTCAGTGGGTATTTTTGCTGTTAATCTATCCAGGTTCCCTCAACATTATTCTTAAAACTCATGTTCTGTCTGCCTCTTTTTTAGCTGACTTACAAATATCTCTGTAGTTCTTTCAAAAGCTGTAAAAATGGTTTCCACGTGTGTGTCTTTCATGAACAAAATACACCTGCTTTGTACTTGGCTGCGTGTCTGTTCGTAATTGATTTGCTCCCCAGTTACATGTAGTCAAGGTACACAAAAGATGTAAAGATTGCCTCAAAATTTTAGCTGCAGTTTAACAGCCAAAAACTGTAGAAAGAGGTAATACTTGAATATAGATTTAAAAGGTTAAGCGACATTTATAAATGAAAAGCAACATGAAGTGGCTTGAATTCTCATTCTGCATTACACTTTGGACAACTCCTTTGCTAGAGGTGATGGTAAAAAAAGTTCCCTTCTGCTGTGTAAACATAGGTACAGAATAGAAAAATAGATCTGTAGCTTCTATAAATAAATGCAGATCTATTGTCAGATCCTCTGCTGACTGGAGTCTGAGTGACTGTTGGAATCAGCAGGTTTTGTCTGAAGGATAGAAAGTTTGACCAACAGAAGATGCTTAACAGGAATGAAATTCCATTGATGGAATTTGATAAGCAGTGTTATTTGATTACTTCACCCATTTCTATATGTAATTCTCCTTAAACAATAAGAAAGTCTAGAAAATCTGTGAGAAGGGGAGGTGAAGATGAGTGTGCTCTTTCAGAGAGCCCATCTGTTGTAACCCCATCTGGTTATCTCCCTGTGCTGAGGATTGAGTGTTTTACCTAGGAAGCGAATCCAGAATAGRTCAACAAAACAGTTTCCCACTGTCTTACACTGAACCCACGACAGTTGGCTTAAAAGCTAGTGACAACAGTCAAGAAGGTTTAAAGTCAAACCATCAGCTGACACCTCCCCTTAGCTTGGCACCATTTAAAAAGTGTTAATTGAAGGATGATGTCAGGCTAGCATGTAGGTTTAGCCAAACTTAGAAGAAAGCATACGATTTCAGGAAGTTTAAAAGAGGACCCGTGAGAGAGAGGAGCTTGCCCAAGCTGCTGTGTAGCAGATCAGGCGTAAGTGATTGCTTTGCTGGGAGCTGTGCATGCTGCTGCCTTCTCACAGTGCTTGGGGAGGATCTTGCAGTGTCTGTGCTGCTGCTCCTGTCCTGACGAGCTCAGCTTTGTACCTGTACTGTGCAATCTCTTTACAGAGGTGGGAGGTGCTGGGAGGGGGAGGAAGAGGTGGCTGTGCTCTCATTGATGCATAGAAGGAGATTTTGTGCTACTAACAAAGCTGATGTGAGTTTGCCCATATAAATCATCCCAAACATCAATGGGAGGAGAAGCCTTGGGTTGTTTAGGACTTCTGCTTCTTGCACRTAACATTGCTTTCAGTGGAAATGGCAATTCTGTATAGTCCACAATGCACAAAAATAAAACCATGATTGTGTCAATAATGACCTGTGGAAATACTGGTTTCCAGGAGGCTGATCCACTAGCGGGAACATCCTCAAAGTAAGAGTTTTGCTGCTGAATTTGTGGTAGCAAGATCACAGTCTGCATTAATGCATTGTATTGGCAATGTTTAATGAATACTGACATGAAGCATGTCTGCTTCTTTTAAAGTGACTGATATTTTTGTGCATCACTCCTACTTTTCAAAGAAAAGACATTTTATACAGAATTGCAACACTGCTTTATACTGCTATGCAAGAATAAAAATGAGGTTTTGCTATTTTTATTCAGGTTTTTTTCATTTCCATTTTAGAACTTTTCATGCCTTTAAAGCATGACTTTACCATGTTAAAGATACAGTATCCTTTTCTACTTCTCTACTGCATTCCTCATGCACTTCATATGCAGATTAGTATTTTTGCAGCCCAGTTTTTCCTAAGGAAATGTCATCAGTAGCATGATTTGACCAATTACAGCTGTACCACATTTGTAATTTCATCTTCTCTCAAAGCCCAGCAACAACCTGAGGATCTTCCTTAYACTGTAAAAGATGCTGAGGAACTTCCTAATTAAAACTAATTTAAACTAGTACAAGTTGCAATCATAGAAAATCCTCCAATGTTGATCACACAGTGCTTAAAATACAAAGAGCTGCTGTTGCTTAAGTCCCAGTCTGCTATCAWAAGACTCTGTAGCTTAACAAGCCATGCTGCTGGCATTAAATTTATTTGCAAATAAATTAATTTTAAATAGCTTAAAGAACATATTTTTTCATCTTGTTTAAGTTTTCTAGCATATCTTGTTTCATGTGGTARCACAAGCTGAAAAGTTTTCTAATTATTACTTCTAGTTTAGATGACRTTATGTTTTTAAACATTATAAAAATGGCCAGTAAATTTGTATGCCAACATGTTTATTGGTTGCAGATGTTCAGGTATTTATAAATGGGTGTAATTTTAATTGCTCTCAGATTAGCATGCAAATGCTAAACCTTTATGTTTGAGCRGTGGAGACATAGCATTAAATTAAAAATATATACCCATACTTAAAGGATACTGWGTCTTTAAGAAAAGCATTTATGTTCTGTTGATGGAAACGTTGAACCTGAACTGTGAAACATGAGAATTTTCACAACTACTTACTGTATGAAACATGGCAAAGTGTAGTTCCTTAGTTGATTGAATAAGAATAGCATCACATCATTATATTTAATTATTCTTATGTATCAGAATGTGTTTTTTAGATCTCATAATGAATTACTGGTGTGAGGTATTTCCATTTTTAAATGTGTACCAGAATTTTTTTTTATTTCAGAAAAGCTCTGAATGTTGAATGTATGTAATTCTCCAGGAATGTAACAAGTTGATAAAAATCACAACCAAGTCCATCCTCCTTACAGCGAAAAAAAAAAAAAAAAAAAGCTGGAATTTCTCTTTTGGATATTTGTTTTGCAGCGTTCTACGTCTTAAGGCAGAGAATAGCCAGCCTAAGGTGCCAGCCCAAAGGTTAGCTGAACATATTTCTTGAAATAATTTTGGCAAGGTTATGACTTRAAGTTATGGCCTTGAAATCATACATTTATATGRTAAGAAGATATAGATGGTTGGGKTTTTTTTTCCTATTTTTAAACATTTGGTTTGGGGGAGATGAGGGAGGAAAGAAATTGACAGGACTGTTTTATCCTAGAYACCTATACAATGAGATACTTATTTTCTAGGCTATTATGCTTTTCCCTTTTCACTCTTTTTCTTTATTTTACCCTCAAGCCTTGGGCAATATTTTTTCCTYTTTGCACATTGTTTGTACTCCCAGCAGTGTATTTACAAGCTGTCAGACCTAGGAGGCCTAATTTGCTTTCACAGTGTTGGATGATGTGCAGTGGGAGGTTGGTTTGGGATGGCTGAGGCACTTATTGCCCCCCACTGCCTGCTCTGCACTTCCACTACAGGTTGTCCAGGGAAGCAGGGACACTTTACAGCCCCAGTCTCCAACAGTGTACAGCCTGGCATGTTAGAGCAAAATGCAATCAGCTCTAGTTTGCTTTGGTACCCAGGGCTGCTGCTGCTTAGGAATTGATGTGTCTTGTTTGCTGTGACAGGGACACGGGTCTCATACAGGGAGGAGCAAAGCAAGCAGCCCTTGGTCTGTCTGWGAAAGTCAGCTTTGTTACTGGGACACAGAAGTCACTCTGCTGAAGCCAGAGGATGTTTTACATTGGAATTAACAAAACWTCAGTAGGGCCCAGTTTGTCTTCTGCCACCACACAAAGACGCTCGTGCTGTCCTATTTCCACCTGTTGGAATTCAGTAGACAATTCGACTGAATAGAAAGAAAGATTCAGGTAACAGACAACTGAGATGATAAAACACCATTCTCTTCAAGTGGTTCACTATAATTACTTAATGCAAACATGAAGAGTTGCAAAGCATGAAATTATTTCTTACTTTTCTAATTTTGCCCGTGTTAGATCAGATTTTTGCTGATTTTTAAGAAAGTATTTAAGGGTATAAGCTTTAGATTAACTTCTACTGACTTCATTAAGTCCTGTTGATTTCAGTGTTGCTCATGCTTAAGTTATGCATGCTTTTTAGTGCTGTTCTGAATAGCAGGGCATTCATAAACCAGGGTCTGGATTCGTCTGTGYGGTTTAGAAACACATTTGGCAGCAGTCACAGCCAAGCCAAGAATTCACTGCAGTGAGTAGCCCACACTGGTTGCAGTTTATCATGTTAATGTGCTGTTACCAGAATCATATGTGCAAACTCAGTAACTGATTTACCCAGGCAAGTGTTGTAGTTGTGCCTGAAAAATTGGGAGCTGCTTACTTAATGGAATCTATGTTTCAGTTTCCATCTGAAACATGCATTTTGACAACATGAACCTCACAAATTACTTTYACAAGTAATTTGTGAAAAAATATTCAGGCATTAGACACTACCATTTTGTCCGGTGTTATTACCAGTTTCTAGTTATGAAAGTTGGTCAAGGACATTCATTATTTTCCAAAAAAATAGAGAAGGAATATTGTGCAGATGAAATTACATGAAAATTAGTAMCCAGTTGCCCTAGTCAGGCTTATTAATCTCTGCAGAGATACACATTGTGTCTACTAGTACACTTAATTAGGAGGCAAAGTCAGGTTTTCAGAAATAGTTTTGTAGTGTGAGTTATGGATACGGTGTGTTTTTACCACCTACTGGTAACTGTGAGGTGGAATAAAYTTCATGCATTCTCTTGCAGTTGTGAGGAGTTGATGTATGTAGTTGATCAAAAAAGAAATATGTGACTCTGAAAGATCTATGGTGATTTATTTTACAAATTAGCTCATACCTTTGGGGCTCTAGATCAAAATTACTGTGAATAAGGCCATTTAATTGTCCTGAGCGTGTTCATGCATAATTTACAAAGAATTGCAAAAAGTAAGTAGAAAGAGACCGATGGGAGCTGAAGCTGACTCTGAAAGTATTATGGAACTTGAGGTTGTAGTCTGAGCACTACAGGAGAAAGGCAGCCAGGTTCAGCTGAAGGAGGCAGCGTCAAGGAAAGCTTTTTTCACCACATGCAAGTCTTGTTGTAAAGTTGGCACTGGGGGAAAATAAGATGGGAAATCTGTTCTGCAATCAGCAGTGTAAGAGGATCCAATAAAGGTTTGTGAAGCTGAATACATTATGTAATCATTTCTGGGCTGCTGCACGAATCACTTGCTGTGCCTGAGCAAATTGAGTTTTAAGGAGCTGGGATCTGGAGTCAGAATAAATGAGGGTCTGTATGTAGCTGGGGAAGAGAGGGCAAAAGCAAGGCCATTCAGACAGGTGGTGCAGTTTGTTTTAGGTGCTGGTATTCCTCTCCACAATTTTAGATGTCGGAGAGAGGGAAAAAAGTTAAAAAATGAAGAGGCAAAGCAGAAAAAAAAACCAAGTAAGAATTAAGCTCAATGCTATTTTAATGAAAAATATAGCCAGGACAAAGAGAAGAAAAATTGCTACAGATACTCCATGAAAAATCTCAGGAATTTCYATTGTTTGCCACAAATCAAGAGGAGTTCTTCAGGTAGGARCCGGGCAGTGCAATCATCTGTTTAGGACTCCACCAAACAGTGTTTGGCAGTCAATAAAAAAATCCTTTAGGTTAGAATTCTAGAAGGAAAGGAATTGAGGGGACAGCATGTGGTAGTCATCCATGCCCTCAAAAGTGGTCAGCTTAGAGCAGAGGAGCTGACCAGATCTGAAAGGTACTTCCACAGCAGTTTTGAGCAAACTTTGTGCAATGAGAAAATACAGATGAAATGAAAAAAAAAAAAAAAGCCAGCATAAAGAATTTGTTGATTGTGTTTTTCATTTGTTGTATTTATGCAACAGTTAAAAACTAATAATTCAGAATGGTTGAGCCATGCTTGGATGCCACCAACAGCAAGCAGTGGCTGGGAAGATTGGTGGCTTTTGGCTTTTGCGCAAGCATAACATATGCTAACAGCACGTGCATTTCACCAGAAATGCTTTCTTCCACTCTCCARCATTTGAAAAAAAAGAAAAAAACWACCAACCAATCATAAAGCCAAACCACCTGTTCACATTTGAGTTCCTTGTGTTATTTTTACAGGAAGTTTAATTTGTCCTGAAGTTTAAGTGAGACTTAAAGTGTGGTATTTCTCACCTTATTTTGGAGGAAAATGGTAGTTCTTGGCAATCTTCAAAATAGGTTCTTGGTTAGATTTATGGATAAATAAAAGGCTCTAGGATACCTCCTTGACTCCATTGAAGTTAGTGAAACTGAGACAGAGCAAGGCTTCACATCTGGCCCACAAAGAAAGAATTTAAAATGATCAAACTGAAATGAATAACCATGAGACCAGAGTTTTCTTACCAATTAGCTCTTGAATTAACAAAATTAAAAGAGAAGTTTAGTTGTAGTTTATTCTATGGCACAGATAAAAAAGCAGGACTTGGCTAAAGATGAAAATAGCTGTGCTTAGGATTTATTTTTTCTGTCTATCTCATTCCACATTCCTGCCCAATGGGAGTGTAGTTTAACAGCTTTCCGAGAGGAATCCTTGGAGAAGTGGTAGGTCTGTTTTGATACTGATTCAACAGTAAATGAGCAGATTAATTTTGAGTGGCACTTGTCTACACAAATATAATTYTAACTTTTGATTACAACAGTTACTATTATAAAGAGTAGAAAGATTTTACTTATTTTTGGCAGCCTTTTTCAGATTCTTCTGGATTTAATTGCCCTATATGCGTAACAGAGTGACTTTCTCAGCCTGGTRTGACTGTGTCTATATTTCCTTCTTCCCTAGTAGAAAAGCAAGTGATACATAACAGGCTGAAATCCGTGGACATGAGTTATTTAGGTCATTGTAAATGTTAGTCACTTGGAAGGAAATGATGGTATATTGGTTGTGGAGTAATTTTTTAATTGTCAAGATGCAAAAAATAGTAATTTGGAGAGGTTTTTTTTTGTCTCCATTACTTCTGAGTCTGCTTGTGTTTAAAAAAAATGGAGAAACTTCATGTGCGTGTGTGACTGAAGTATTCTGCCCTGTTGTAGCTGGAATTTTGCAAGAAAACGAGTGGAGAATTGAAAGAAAACACCCAGTCACATCAGCACATGTAGAGTATGCTCAGGCTCATACCAAACAACTGAAATAGTTGCCTGTTATTAAAAGAAATGCTGAATGAAAGTCTGGCTGAAGCTTATTTTTGTTCCTGGGTCTGGCTGTTGCCAGTGTTCAAATTGAGCTCGTTGGGAGTCAGTGAGTGGATCTGCTGCTGTGAGGAGGCAACTTCTCCTTTGGGTAAGGGTTTTTAGGCTGGAGGTGGCAGAGCTGGAGCTGGCCCACCCCTCTGGGCCTGGTCASTCTGGTGGGGGTCTGTGGGGATCCCAGCCAGGCATGGAGGCTTGGCTGAACCATCTGGTTCTTTAGTCCTGAGTGCCCTCAAAGCCCCAGTAAAGCTAATAGGAACATATACAAGTTTTTTCATGAGAGTGGCTTGATTCCTCATGGGAAATACCATCAGATTTATCTGTGTGTTGGCTGAGCTGCAGATGTTGGTRAGCTTACTGCAAAACGATTTTCTCCTGCATATAGAAATTCTTCAGTTGTAACATTGCATTGAATTTGAGCCGTGTCTAAATAAGATTCATAATGCTGAAGTAGCCCAAGTTCATAGAATGTACTCTAATACACAGGTTTTCTTCAAGAACAGTGCTTGGCAGCAAACAAAGATTTCCAAATACCCATTTAATGTGCAAAACCCCCAATATTTTACGATGACTTTGATTTTATGGAGCGTGGTTTGTTAGTCATTAGAAAGCTTTCCTTGGTAATAGAGATTATTGAGCTGCAKGCTGTGAGGGGCTGAGATCTTTAACTGAGACATCTAAAACCAGAAAACAGACGTGTCTGTCATGTGATTTAAATGTGTTTTGTRATTCTGTCTTGAGATTAGGAGGTAGAGTAGATCTGCAATTACCCACATRYGTGTCAAACAAGACATTAAATCCTRTATAGTATGGAGCTGCATTTGTTGKTATSTGTTGGATTAGATAAACTCTTGGAGAACCCACAGATCTGATTTCTTGGTGGAACAACAACACCTGTGTTGCACATCTCATTTCTGTAGAAGTTGAATATTGTATGTTCTAAACAAAYACTAATACATAATTTTTGTTCAGTATGATATCTGACCTAATTGGTTAACTGAGAGAATTAAGCAAAACATCTAATTCCCAATATTAATGTCTTTGACTTTTTGAATTAAAGGAATATTTTAATTTATAAATGAAATTAAAATCTCATTTCATTACTGAATTTTCTAAGGCTTTTTGACTTCAAGTGTGAGTTTTTATTCTCTGTCAGAACAGCTAATAGTGTACAATCTGTGCAATTGAGGAAGGATCAAAGCTTTAAAAAAATCAGCTAAATTAGAGTTGCCACAGGTTCAGCTACTGAACTGTTATACTTTGCAACTAATGACCCCATGGTATTTTGTGTTTCTTTAAAAGAACTAGTTTTCATAAGTGTGTCCCACTTCACAATATGGATCTTCTATGAAGGGCAGTTGAAGTTTCATGGAAGTTTTCAAAARCATATTTATACTTATTTCTTTTTATCCACTGTAGTTTAGATCACAACTTTTCTTTTTCCCTGTTGACTGTGGAGTCATGAAAAGTCATGATTGTATGTATATATGTGTATACTATATTTAGTAAAAACCATGCCTGATAATGAAGGGAAAATGCAGTCCTAAAACTGGAGCAAACTCCTTCTATGCTAACAGTTGTTTCTCTGGATATATTTGTCAGAATTGCTGTTTCTGCATGCTTTGAATCTGATGGAAAAGATTTTCAGAACATCAAAGATGTGTTTGAATAGTTCTTCCTCCACCAAAACTAATACCTTGTTTCTTGTTTAATTTTGTTTAATTCAGCCCTGTTGAACAGCTTGGCTAAGATGCAAATTACATTTTTGAGTGTGCTCTGGCAAATTTCTGTTAAATTACATCCTTAATGCATCCAGTTTTATGATACAGCCCATTGTTGTCAGATTAATATTGCACTGGATCTAGTTAGTTACTTGCAAGTTCCAAATGATCCAATTACTTTTTGAATTGAACTTTAAGCTGGGGTAAATAGATAAATCCTACTTACWGGATCTTCACGTTATGGTACCATCTGATTTCTGTTTATTTTATGTCTGTCTTGCATTAGTCATGGGCTCACCATGATTGGGCATCTGCATTTTGTCATATAGTGATAAACAATATCTTACCGCATAGTAAATACTGCATTTTTCCAGTTGATTGAATCAGTAGGTTTAGTAATAGAAAAACATTTCTAATGTAAAAGATCAAGAAATGCTGTTTAAAATTTTCATCTGTCAGATTTTTTCCAGTTATGCAGGAAAATATTCCTGTTAGCTGATCCTACATCAGTAGGAATAGATGTAGTAGAAATAAATTTGTGTATGAATTCTTACAATTCTTCAAGAGCAATGCTTTTGTTATTTGTTACTGAAGTTTTGAAAGTCTGTTTTATGCATTTTGTTTGTKTCATATTCAGAGAGGCACCAACAAATGGCTTTCTACCTATTATTTCTTGGAGTTCTGTATTTGTTTTGTATATGTAACTTCTGAGTCATGATTTATACATTCTGAGACTGTATCTGCAGAGCAGGGTGTATAATAAATGCTTGAAATAGTCAGAGAAGTGGCTTGGATGTGTGCAGTGATAAAGCAGCGCATTACAGTCAGTGTTSCTTTTGCCCTGTCCTTTCTTCCTTCGAAATGAAAGGAAAAGTAATTCCCATCCTAGCATACAAATGCCCAAAAGGGAGGGATTCAGGCTCCTTGTTATTCAGCGCACGGGTGGAGTTTTGCTGTGTAGTGCTGGAGGAAGGTGGTGAATCTGTGGGAGGGTGGGCTCTGTGCCACTGCCTACCGGTGACCGCACCGTGGCTTTCTGTGTTGCCCATGACTTTGATGTGCACATTTTCTACATCCCTGGGGATTTTCCAGGTTTGCCAAATGTAATGGCATCAATCAATAATACCTACATGCATAGGGCAAGTGAAAGCACAGTGGCTGCTTGCTGGTCAGGTATTAAAAGGGTTTGATGGCCCATAAACAGTGTAGTGGATTGTTGTGCAAAAATAGACTACTAGCAAGTATCTCCCTCCTGCCACAAATTGGGGTGGTGGTGATCTTTGAAAACGCAACTGTTGTTAACAGAGAAGCTGCTGAAGGGAGAACATGGACAGTACTACAATTTGTTAGGTAGTTGCTGTTTATTTCAAAGTAGAGCACTGTCAGCTGTGGCTGGAGTGGAGTAATGAGTGTTCCTCTGTTTGCAGCGATATGCCAGCCAGGGTGCAAACACGGTGAATGCATTGGGCCAAATAAGTGTAAGTGCCACCCGGGATACACTGGAAAAACCTGCAACCAAGGTAAGAAAGAATTTATTTTTGAAATAATGAGAGTGTTGTTGATCTCTCTACACCCCCTCCAATGCTGTGTGTGTCGCCTGTGTTTACAGGGTCATGAACTCACAGACCAGGTCTGTTACTGCTGCAGCAATTCTGATATTGGGACTGACATTTGTAGAGAGGATGACATCTGCAGTGGGATGACACYGGGGCAAAACTGCTTTCATTCAGAAGAAAGAAATGAGATTAATATATATATTATGTAGTTAYATGCTCTTTTTGATTTGAAACAAATTATTTAAACCTTGTGGTCAGGATTGTTGTTTCATAAAATTACAATTTTCACATTTGAATAGTAAAATAATACTTGTTTAATTTTAAAAAAACATAATTCGTATGTTCTCAYTTTAGTGCTTCTAATCCTGAACTAACTAGGTTGCAGTGTACTGAAGGGTTGGTGTAAAGATGATGTTTCTCTTGCTGGATTAGCAATATAGTTTCATTGTTTTGAGGTTTTTTTTCCCCCAGAATTAATGTCCAAAGCATGTAATGCTATAAAGATCATAGGGCATAAACAGAGAGTTGTAATATGTGATTTACTAGACTTCTATGGTAATCTATGTTCACATATAAAGATTTTTCAATTATATCTCTTTCCCAGTTGTCTCAGCTTACAGAAAAAGTTCATGCATTTTATGAGTGCTAAGAATGTATGGCAGAAAAAAACCTGATATTTAGAATGATTTTCTTTTTCAAGAATGTAGATTTTGCTAAATTTCTTATGACATGTTGGTTTTTTCAAGTGAATTATTTTCTTTTAAAATAGATTAATTTTAATTTCAGATTTACTAATCCTTCCCAAACTGATGTGGAAATGAGCTTTGTGTTTTTCAGTTTTCTCAGAAGTTTCTGTCATCTCTTACATTATCTTGCCTTTTTTTTCCCTTACTCTGGGTTGGCRTTTTAAAGGATGGTGTTATGATTTTATCCCACGCATGTTTTAGTYTAAAACTTTGCAGAGAACTAACAGTTGTTGTACATATATGTAACAGTTTTTATATGTACTAATTGGTTTAACAATATCAAAAGAATGCTTTGCAGATTGCTGGAGGCTGCAGTGTTGAACTGAGCTATTTTCTTGCCACTAAATGCTAAGGAAGGAAAAAATATGATAAGTTATTAAAGGAAGCYTTTTGGGCAGTATTGATCAAATGTTCTGGCATGGTGCTGGTGGCAAAGTTGCCGTGGCAGGTGTACCTGGGGTTTCTGAKATGCCTGCTGACTGTGGTGCCCCAAATGTGCACCAGTTCAGGGGGCTGCTGCTGTTCCCYTACATGGTGAGACCCTTGAGCTGTTTCTGGGGTCACGGTTTGTGTTCTTKCCATGTGCTGATTCCATGTTTGGATGAGAATTGGAAATGCGCAGTGGATGCAGAGTCTGSTTTTGCTGGAAGGAGATTAAATGGCTCAGGATAAATGTGACCTATGTTATTATAATTTAATACAGCCCCTGTCCTGTTCAGTCTGAGGCCCATTTTCTCAGTCCTGTTSTAGAATAGTAACAGAAGTAATAATGCTGATGGAAGAAATATTGGTGCTCTCYTGCAGAGAGGGAAGTCTTTCTAGGGTGTATGAATGGCTCTGGGCTGTAAGGTGYGCTCAGGTTCTTGGTGAAAGGCATTCTGTGAGTACAGGCTCTGATAAACAGGCTGTACCTCTCATCTGCTCCTGTGCCCCTGTGTTCCTGGGGCTGATCCAGGAGAAGACCCCAGCCTCACAGCAGAACTGTTGAACCCTGACCTTGTGATGGTGCTGGRTGTTTGTCCTTTTCCAGTGGGACTGCAGCTGCTGTGACAATTTAYACCTCACTTAAGGTCACTCAGAAGTTAGGACAACTAACACTTTTAAAATTATGTTGCTATCATCAGCAATCAAACTGCAGTGACTGCACAAGAGCAGACCAYGTGCTCTCCCTACAGCATTCCTATCTCCTGAGTGGCTTTAGTGTTTCCCTTCTGGCTTTTTGATCCCAGCTTTACAGCTGTAAGCAGTGAAGAAACAAACAGAGAAGCTTGAGAGAAAATACCCTGTGCCAGCTCTCTTAATTTATAATGATAACAGAACTCATACTTTCACAATGCGTTCATCAGAAAATTGATAGCTGCTCTTGAATAAGAAAATACAAATAGTATTCAGTAAGAGAAATACAGGTAGTTGGAGACTTGTATTTTTTGCTAGCAATCTAAAGCACATAGAGGTTAACTTTGGCTGGGAAAGGTTGTCTTTATCCAAAAAAATCTAAGGCTGCTTTTCTGTCATTTTCTATTCTCTTACCCCTGCATGTTCTGGGAACATGCAAAGTTCACTACTTGAAATTCTTGTCAGCAYTTGTTATATATGTATATTTATTAATTTGTAAATGAAGTAATGTATATTGCCTAATTTTTGTTATGCCTTCTCCCCATCCTGTAAAGATGTGTAGCTTTTTACAAGTCCACTTGGTCAGAGCAGTGAAGCTCTTGTATTCGCTGCTCTGGATCATCATACAACAAATGTAACATCAAGGGATAGGTGCTCCTGTGTCTCAGTCATTGTGATCCTTCTACCTGCACAGCTTCAAACAGGAGTGCAACTTCTTGCAAAGGGGRTGGAGGCTGATCGACCCATCAATGGCTGGCATGTGAAAGCTGAGCCTGCAGTACCATTAGCRTGCAGAGCACATAATTGGTTGTATTTCCTCGATGCTGTTGTGTGTCTGTATTCCGAAAAGTTTTGACTCTCCACCATACTYGTGGTTGTCACTTGGATTTGTTTCTTTCCTCTGCTCTTCTTTCAGAGCCTGCCTTTTTTATTTCCTTTGTGAAATGATAGTGATGGAAATAGTTTATCAGGTTAGATAAAAACAAAACTGTGATTTACATACCATTGGAAGTTATAGAAGATGAGCATTGTTAATGGCTGAATTTGGCAGCTGTTGATTAATCAAACTAAGCACTGTGAACAAAACTCTTTAGGTGATACAAATCYCTGGTGGGTTTGACATGTTAGTATGATTGCTGTTGCTGGAAATGAAAGCTGATCTACTGTTTAGATTGTGGTGGTAACAGTTTAATTTTTGTACTTGGTTTCTGGTCCTTGGCTTTCTATTTTTGAAGTTGGGTAAACGTGGAATTGAATAGTTGATTTCACTGTTGCTTGATCCAAGTTGGGTAATAGGCAAAAAAAAAAAAGGCAGGAAAAGTCTGAGTGCTGAAGTCTGCAGAGACTAATTAAAAGAAGATATCAGAATGTGTTGAATCTGCCTAGAAATAAGTGGCCCATGGTTAGGTGTGCACTGAAATCAGTCTAAAACCACGTGTGGTGCGACGCAGCTGTCAAAGGARTCACATCTGGGTTTGCCAGYGTAATGCTCTTGTCCTTTCCTTGCMCTTATGTTTTCATTTTGAATCTTTAGAAGTAAAATACTTGTAATCAGCAGCCTGTGTTTATGTTATAAACCTGCTTTCCACAGTGGCCAGAATGGCCAGTCTGCCTTTATGTGCTCTACTGTTTGTGTTACTTTGAAATTAGGAAAGCTGGTTTTGCATTGGCTGTGCGATTGTAGGCAGCATGGGAAATTAAAAGGCTGAACAATTAAATTCTCAAATGCAGAACAATGAGTGGACATCCCCACAAAGATATTAAAGGGATTTGTTCAACTTTTTAGCAGTGTTGCACTTTATATTTTATAGTCCAGTGTAAGATTATAAGTGACTAAAAGAAATTTTTATAATATTTTATTAAGATGAGAAATAATGTAAAAGTGTTATTTTTATTACCATTTAGATTTATGCATTTTGGCTCTCAATTTTTTTKGTGACATCTGCTGTTTTCTTATTTCCTCTTTTGATGCATAGGTGTTTATACTGAGATATCTTTAGAGATGTTTGTTGAAATACACCAGTGATAAGTAGCCAGCATATCTTCAAGAGGTATCTTGCTATGGCTGATTTTTTTGGCTGCTGACATTTGCCTGAGCCTGTTCTTGAAGTGTAGCCCTTGCTTAAGGAACAAGAAACACAGAGTATGTAAATGGCAGGAAGGCTCCAGTGCTCCCCCAGTCCACTCACAGTACCTCTGGACACTTACTAGGGAAGCTAATTCAAAGGCATGAGTGGAAACCCATGACACATGAGATTTAGGTTTAAGTGTAGTTGTGCTAGCACCCTGTTCCTGCTGTCTTGTGACTTCAGGTTTCTGTTACATCCAAACTTTTGAAGCCAAACTTCAAAAGTTTTACTTTTTCAAAGCACAGTCACTTTACTTTCAGTATGCTTCTTGGGATGCRAATCAGAGGAGTCTGACAACATTTGTTCACAGAAAGAAGTATAGGGAAACAAAGGCAATAGGAATAATTCAGCCAAAATTCCACAAATAGAAAGCATGTGATATGATATCATAATACAGTTGTTCATGCCTTTTAATATCAGGTTATTCTCATGGTGTGTTACTAATAGCTGTCTGTCATTACCAGAGCTTTTATTTCTGTACTAAGAATACTTTGTATCAGGGATGATGTAGAATTCAGAGTCCTACAGAAAGATTGAGTGTTTTAAGGCTTATAATGTAATCTATATGCAAGGTGGTAAACTGAGAAGAGTTGTAAATTCTTATTTTCAAATTTGAGTCTGTGGTCATAACCTGAAAGTAAGTGAATGCCATTTTGGCAATCTTTCCTCACTGAAGTCCTGTTTAGGCTCACCTATCTTCCCCCCCCCCCCCCACCTTGAGGAGCAAATATTCCCTCTCAGGTTTCCTGGAAACATCTTGTTCAGCCTTACACGGGAAGAAATGGAAAATTGTATCTCTTACCACTACCCTCTTGGGGAAAAGGGGAGCGGGAAGTCTTCTTGTCCTTAGACTTGGTGTTCTTCTGGAGACCTTGGAAAATGAAGAAAGGGGAAGGGTTCTGGGGAGTGCCATGTCTGCATGATGCTCACTATTCCCTGATCCCATGAAGATGGAAACAAAGGAGGTCAGAAGACAGCGGATTTTATGGTACACATAAATGCTGTCAGGAGCTCTCAGGAACGGCAATGGCATAACAGGCAGCATCCTTGTGGCTGAGTTTGGATTACATCAGTGATATATAGTCTGATACATTTTTTTCCCTTGATGGCTCTGGATTTTATTAGTCAGAATGAAAGGGAATTTCATTCTCAGTTTTAGAATGGCATTTAAAAGTATTTTGCCRTAAAAGAGTAAGATGAAGAATGTTGCTTTATAAAACTAAGTGATTACAATGTTTCAGGATTAATTTAAAATCCAAACATTGGGAACTTGKAAAATTCCAGGTGTTGTCTAGAATCAATGTTTTGTCTAACTTAGCTCCACAGTGGTTGGTTGTAACTTTTCTCCATTTACTCCACTTACTACTTAGACTCAGTTAAGTCTTCTGCTTTAGTCTGAAAAGCACTTAATGAATTACTGACTTCATTCTAACCAGAGCTGTATTTACCTTTCTGGTTCAGCATCTTCACCCTGACCCTTCGCCTCTGGTCCATAGAAGGCATCTGTCACCGCCTCAGCTGGCATTTCATGGAGTGGCTTCTGTGTGTGTATATGTATCTACTTCATGATAGGAGCCTCAAGGTTTTCCTGCTACATGGATTGGGGAGTACTTGATAAGATAGTGCTTAATACTGAGAGATGGCTCTTGGAAAACTTCTGGAAAAAATRGTGATTCTCTGTCTGTGACAGTCCTCCAGACAGCATTGTGCAATACTAGAGATGAGGGTTGATAACTCYGTGTTCGAAGTTCTTGCTGGCTGGATTTGTGAATACATTTATTATTTTCATCTTCGTTGTCATCTTTGTTGGTCACTGTACAAATAACAAACAATAATAATAAATAGCAAATTATTCTGATTTACTCAGATAAAATYAACACATTCTTGGGAGAAAATTCTGAAGGAAATCATTCCATCTACTTCTTGTTTGAAGTTCTGTCTACTAATAGGAARTTGTAAGCTGAATGTTTTCAGTTCAAGTCATGAATTCTCTATTAAATTGKAAATCTGAAATGCTAGCCCTCACGGATAGTCCTTGACACATATAGCTGATGTCAGATACTGTTTTTCAGTATTTTCTAGATGATAAGGAATTAATTTTCTCTGTGAGATTKTTTAAAGTAGTATCATCAGCTTTCCTACCTTTCTTTGCCACTAATTTCRAAGCATGATAGTGAATCACCGAATCACTATCAGAATCGCTGATGGTGATTGCAGAGTGATGTCTGCTTTCTCTCTCCTCCTTCAGAGCGCTGGCTGGTCCTGGACATGGCTACAACATTAATAGTGGCAAGATGTGGGCAGCCTGAGCTTGTGTGTTCCCTAATGAAATTGTTGGCACTTCGTCTGATACTAATAACTGTTATTTTTGAAAAAGTATCTATGAAACCAAGCAWAATAAGCTACTTGGCCAGAGGGATGAACAGCGCTTCGTGCAGGCTGTTCTGGACACTTGCTATTAGCCAAACTKCATATAAAAAGCTAATTGCCATATTTCTCCTCCCTTCTCCTGCAGCTTGAACTGGCAGTTTTGCCACGCATGCTTTGTTTTCTTTTCCCATCCTCTTCTTTGTGCCCTTCGTTTCAGATCTGAATGAGTGCGGGCTCAAGCCGCGGCCGTGCAAGCACCGGTGTATGAACACCTTCGGCAGCTACAAGTGCTACTGCCTGAACGGCTACATGCTTATGCCAGATGGAACCTGCTCAAGTATGGCCAGCCTTGCTGCTTGCTCTTTTCCAGCTTCTCAATATCCCTGAGCAAATTTCCCTGGGAACCTCTAGGAAAGGAAGATGAGTCCCAAAGTAAACGATTAATCTTGCTGGAAATTAGGCAGCTGCCCAAGATGAGCTGCTTTTTCTTTCTAGTTAAATTAGGCTGAAAAAAACGAGAGCAATTGTTTTGATTTTATTAGTTTTATTATAAGTTTCCCCCAAAGCATTCTTCAGTGCTGTAAATCACTGCTAATTGGGCTAGGAGGGCAAGTGCTTGCAGTTTTCATTGCAAGACACCTGCAGTTCTGCTGCTTTATGGCCTTACAAATGTAAAATCTTTAACACTGCAGATGTTGGCTGTTTGACTGGTATAAAAAATTGTAGTGATATCTCTCTGGAGATCAAGTTCCTAYTTGCTCTCATAAAAGCAGTTGTTCKGAATGTTTGTGCAGAGGGAAGGTGAGAGAAGTTACCTTTAATTAGAGATGCCCCATTTTTTAAATGGCAGTACTGTCCACCAGGGTCTGTAGTACATACTAGTTTTATATTCTGGGGACTGCATTCTACAACACAACTTAACTATGACTGTGGTGGTTTTCTCTCTTTTCCTTTTTTTTTTTTTTTCATAGAGATGTAGTTTGTGAAAAGAAAAATTTTGCTAGCAGATGTATTTGCTCTTTAAAGAACACCAGTCAAACCCAACCAGCATTTTCCCACTTTTATCATAAAAGTGTGACATCTTAGTTCTTGGAAGTTTTCAGTAATTTTCTTGTACTGATCAGTGTCTTTGTCTGAATATGGTCAATTGTTTTTCTTCAGATGCCCTTTCTTGCCTGATGGCAAACTGTCAGTACGGCTGTGACGTGCTCAAAGGGGAAGTGCGCTGCCGCTGTCCTTCTCCAGGGCTGCAGCTTGGGCCTGATGGCAGGACTTGTGTAGGTAGGTAGCTTAATTTTTTTTTTTCTCCAAAATGCTTTTATCCTTACACAGAATGCAGTTCGAGAGAGTTTATACCCTTAGGATGCATTGAACAAGCAGTTTGAAGTTGTTAATAATGGGAATTGCTCTTTCTTCCCTACTGTGAAAACTCCAGGATAAAATAAACAAAAGAACTCAGAGTATAAAAGTGAAATGTTTTGTTCCCACGTTTGTGAACATGGAAAAGGTGCTTATGGTTAATCAGGCTCTACTGTGGTCTGAAGAACAGTGTGATGTGTGATTTCATTAGTCATTAACTATACATCCTGAGTGGATATGACACTCCAGTGATTTTATTGTCTGTATTTTGTGAAGTACTACAATTCCATAACCAATAACAGCACTTGCAGTGGAAGAATGTAMGAAAATRRGGATCCTAATYATCCATTTGGGTATCTTKACTGTTCCCAGGGATGGCTGTTYTCCAAGTGCCTGRCCCMTGCTGACCAAGAATTTGTTGTCAGRGAAAGGGACAGACTCTWGATCTTCTGATGTGAAGAGCAGGCTCCACACTAAGTCTGAGGATTTCTGAAGTGCACAATTAGCATATCTGTGTATGGAAAAGAGCAGGAGAAAAAAACTCACCATTGTTACCTGCTGAAGGGATTAGGTTGGGGACATTATGGGAGAGAGATCTTTGGAAGATACTTGTGCCATGCCATAGTGAGCGGAGTGATTCTAAGTACAAAATCAAGAAAGTTTTACCGAGAAGAGAAATTTGCTAGAAAAAAATGCTTGCAACATTCTCKTAGTATGCATTTTTCTATTCTGACAAAGTCATACTTTGAAATAAACAAAGTGTACTTTAATGCCAAAGGCTAACACTCAAACCAGTCCTATGAAGCTCTTTGAGTTCTTCAGTACACGTTTCAAAAAAACACTTTTTTCCCCCAGGAAGGCAAAGAGCTGTGTACCCACTTTTTAGTTGGGCGTGCATCATTCAGAATGATCTCATAACCTATTTCTAAAATTTCAACAGAAATGTCAGAGCAACCGTTTACAATACAGAGAAAATAGTTACAAGAAGGCATGTCTGTTCTTCCCACATMGTAACATAATGTTCTCCCTTTTTTTGGTGAGAAGTGATTGTGACATTTTTGACCCTTTCTGTGCTATGTCTCTATCAAGTTTGAGTTGCATTAAATACCTCAAAGAATGGAAATTACTTGGAACTAGAGATGCGCTTTTTCCTTATGTTTGTGCAAGCCCATCACTGTTGGGGAGGTTGCTGGCTCCAGCAAGGGCCTGAATAATGCTGCAGTACAAATAGAAGTGTAGATGATGGTAAAAAATTGTGCATTGGCTGCAGCTCATGAAATCCTTGTTTGGGAAAAGTTTGAAAGACAGCTGGGAATGCAATGCTTATTTTTAGCACAGGTGGAAATTCCTCTAGGCATTATTCTATTCTTAGTTTAACACTTGCTGATCATTCTCTTCTTTAAAATGTTCCTTCCAGACAATCAGTAAAGAGCCACCAACTTGGCTWTAAAGGTAGATCATCTAAACTAAATGGCAACAAAGTGAAAAGAAGATTCAGCAAAGTGCGAAAAYCATTGAAAATGTGGATTAAACAGCTMATTAATTGATTAATGACTCCTGAAYCRATCAATCATTCAGCATTGCCAGGTTTTTGGATTGGGATTTTCTTTGATGAAATTAGCCATATACACAGCTCAGCTTCAAAAGGTCTGAAATTATTTGRGGGCTGAAAATAATGATTTCTCACTRTAAARTKAATTCTTTCCCYTTTTTGYGTGTGTGTTTAGAAACCTCAAAATRTGGMCTTGTAAACTTAAAAACCATACTATTTTTAAAACAGTCTCACAGTTACTTTGTGCTTGAGTTGATAATGTGGTCATACTTGCAGCATTGAGAGAAGCAAGGCTATAATTCTGCTTCTGTGGTGGACACTGACCATCACACTCATTAGGTGCTGACCATCACACTCCCAGACGTGCCTTTGGAGCAGCTCCCTGGTGCTGAAGTGAGAATACAAATCGCCCCTCAGTGCCCTGCTTTTCACAGGAAGCAGGTATGAAGCACAGCGTGTTGCAGCAGGCAAAGAGCCCACACCTTTGGGTCCAGGTGTGAATCGACTTGAAAGAAGCCACAGTCGCAGCACTGTCTGAGAGCTGCAGGAAACTAATCACAAGCACTTGCATATCTTCTTGTGGCTACTGATCAAAAAGTGGTTTTCCCCTCAGTAATGAGCACCAAGATACTTATCATTATATGCACGTGGAAGATTGTTGCATTTTTCCATTTTTTTTATCAGTTTTCAACAGTGTATTGATTAGCAGTTCAGCCCTGTATCTTTAGGACATGAAACTTCCTACCAATACACTGCTGTCACAATTTAACATAATTTTTACCTTATGTGAATTTGAAAACAAGGTGAATAGGAATATCTACAGAGGAAAAAGCAGGACACACTACATTAGGTTTTTAAAAATCATAATCCATGCTATGATGAGGTTTATTCAATGGCTAATCTTCTTACTGAATTACTTTTTGAAGTTGTGGTTTAAAGATTAGAAAATCCCAACCAAAACCAACAAAGAGCACAACTAACTCATATAATCGAGAGTCTGAAACTTAGATTTTATAAAACTTTGTAACATACTCGAAGCCTAAAATGTTAACAATAAGTGCAAATAAAGAGACAGATTTCTTGGAAGGTTCAGGCATGTGGAGCTGTGCCCAGTATTTGTCTTATTTATCTTTCAATGAGAAGCCTTTGCTACATGATTCCAGCAGTGCTGTGGATGGMAAGAGAGCAGTCTAATGGGCCAGGAGTGTGGGAGCACAGGGGTTCAATCCCTGCTGTCCTCAGTAATTCTTTGCACAGAGTGGGACAGTGCCAGCAGGAGYTACTGGGACAACCCATCCAGTCAGTAATTCAAGGCTTTAGGTCACTTCTCTTGGCTGTGGRAGCACAGCTTGGAGAGGCTGAAGCTTCATCTCCCCCACCTCAGGTAGCTGCCCTAACTAACCAGCAGCCCTGTGGAAACATTTTTCCTGCACATTGGAAGAGGCTCTGCCTTGTTCAGGGCTCTTTCATGAGAGCAGCGGGGCATCAATCACTCGGCTTTGTTTTGCGCTCTTGACATCGGCAGCTGAAGTGCTCCTTTTGGGAAAAGAACTGCGTGGAGAGCAAAATCTTGCTTTCCCAGAGATCAAGAGCCTGATAGAGCTGCAGAGCAAAGGCTTGAACTGTGCCCTGCAGATAACCAGCAAACGTGAGGAGCCACTCGTCAGAAGCAGCCATGCACGGGAGGCTTCCACCTCAGCGGAGAGTTAGTGTTTGAGCATTAAGCAGCCTCAGCCCGGTGTCCAAAGACTGCAGAGTGAGTGGTAGCACAAGCAGCTTTTGTGTGTCAGCCTGACCCGGTCTGAGAGCTTCCCAGGCAGGGAGAGCAGCTGTGGGTGAGCATTGGCTGCTCCCTGGGTGTCTGCCTGTGACCCAGAGCTGAACTGAGAGGGCACAGCCAGAACAAGTGCTCAGGTATTACTGCTGACTGAACAGGGGACCTTATGAAAAATACTTTGGCTCTTCTTTAGCTTTCCATTGTGTCAAACCAGTTTCGTTTAGACAGCGAACATTGTGTTTTAACTAATACAGTTCCTTTGTTTCCACAGATATTGATGAATGTGCTACTGGRAGAGTTCTCTGTCCACGGTTTAGGCACTGTGTCAATACTTTTGGGAGCTACATTTGCAGGTGTCATAAAGGCTTTGATCTGATGTACATCGGAGGCAAATACCAGTGTCATGGTAATAACAAGCTATTTCTTACATGCATGTAATAGAGCTGCATTTTCTAAACTTATATTAATGGTTCAAAGAGCAATGTTTTTTTATTATGGCTGAAATGCTGAAGAAGGTTGTTTTACATTGCATGAGTATTTTAAGAAAGGGTGGATTGTAGAAATGGACTATGAAAGAGAAGGCATAAGTTTGACCCAGATTCTTGTAGCTGGTTCTTGTGTGRAAGCTAGCAGGGAGAGCAGAGCTGATGACCCCAGGAATTCCTTTCCAAAGCCTTTTTACCTGCGGCGTTCAGTCAGTGGCAGTTGTAGGCTTGGAGCAGTGTGTGAGCATAGGCTGTGTCTGAGCTGTAACACTGGCGTGCTCCATAGCCTGCCCCAAGATCCAAGATAAGAAAATGTGCACACCCCAGCTCCTCCCTACCCTGACTGCCCAACTTTCCTTCCCCTGAAGACAGGTGGAGAAAAGGCAGGGGTTGGGAAATAACCTGCTTTTGTCTGGACATGAGACTGGAATGCAGCTGGGATATGCCCTTCAACAAAGATATTCCCGGGTCTCTCTGCATTAGTTTCACAGTGTCTCAGAGAAATTTGTATTCAGAGCACTGGAATTTTGAGATTTTTGCTTGCATTACTTGACAGTAAATGTGGATATGCCATGTGAAAGGTTTCCAGCAGTTTCTACTTGATGTAGAAACATCTGTGCAGATTTATAATATAAGAAGCATTTATGAAGGAAAAYCATTTGAATATCTGTGTGATTAAGAACCTGCATATTGCTGCATTCACTCTGTTTTTTTCTTATTCTGTCACCTCTAAGAAGTGGCTGCTAAAATTGTGATCTTAGTGATCTCAATTGCAATCTGCCCATGGCATGTTGGAAGCTGATGCTAAGGTATAAGCTGAGTAATACCAGAGTTGCCCAATAGTCCCTATTTACCCTAATGTTTTTATTAGAGTAAACATGTACCTATTGTTTTGTGACTGTCTATTTTCCTTTTCACACTGGCAATTCAGTTTTATTATTATTTTTTAAAATACTCAAAATTGTAATAAGGTTTGTGTTTTTTGCAGGGATAAGCGGAAAGCTGGGTTTCTGTGAAGCAAATGATTATTTTAATGTAAATTTATGTTGCAGATATAGATGAGTGTTCCCTTGGCCACCATCAGTGTGGTAGTTTTTCACACTGCTACAATACTCCAGGATCCTACAAATGCAAATGTAAAGAAGGATACAGAGACAATGGAACAAACTGCATACGTATGTAATGCTCCTTTTAATCCAGAGGTTCTGAAAGCTTGTGTGTCACATTTTGTAAACTTTAAGGTACATCATTATCAGGCTCAGTTTCTCTTAACTTTCTCTTTAGTATTTTTAATACTAAATAAGGAGCTTGGGAATGTAGCTGGAGTTTTCTAGGCCTTACAGTGCCTCAGTAAAAATATCTTTCCCTGAGACGTTTTCATAATTAGAAAGAAATTCACCTCTCCCTATTCACAGCCTGATTCTAGAGATTACTTCAGGATGAGAGCAACTGAGTAAGCAGGGTATGTCTGATCAAACAGTGCCTATTACTCATACTCTGTTTTGTACACTCCACACTGGCCCATTTCAGCAGCTCACCCCATCCACTGCCTGCTGCTTCCCAGRTGTGAGCAAAGCCAAGAGGGGCATTTCTCTGGAATGATTTGCTGTTGGAAAATTCCCTTGGCCTCCTTTCTCTGGGGAGATGCAGCCACCCCCTTGGTACAGAATARGCTGTTTGAGCTCCCCATATTTGACATCCCACAGCTCTATGACATCTGCTGGATCTTTTTGATCCTCCTTTCCTTTGTGGGATCTGTTCTTTGGTGACTCACTGATCTCTTTAAAGAGCAGTACCATTGTTTTCCTTTGGCTGTAGCTGTCATGATAAAAGGTGTTCTTTCACAACCTGAGTGCTTGCAATTATATGTGGGCACATTTCACATGTTACTGGGACATAGTCCTGAGGGGCATTTTGTATTTTAATTGACTATAATGTTGAAACTGCAGGGTATTCAAAGGGATAGTAATAAACAAGTGGCCAGAGGGAAAACCTTTTCACCTGCTAGCATCAAACAATTTGCTGTTTAACAAACAGTAGTTCTTCATTTTAACTGTGTTGTACTTCAAACACTTGTACACAAAATATGTGACTCGAGTTCTTACTGAGCCTTTCAAGATCTCCAGTGAGATATAAAAGGCTTATTAGCAAATAGAACATTGTAAATAACAAAACAGATATTCTTATGTTTCATGTCTGCAGAAACTCTCCTTGTGAAACCAAGTTAAAATTTGTTGTCCTTTCCTTAYGAAACATTGGAGGACATGGTACTGYGGGCACTGTCACTGTGGTGAAGGTGGTGCTCAGTCCCCCACCTAATTTTTGTGAAGGCTGAMAAAAATGTCATTTACTTAGTTTCCTGGTGTTTTGCAAGGGTAAAGWTCTAAATGAGGGCTGGCTTAGGTTCAATCTCTAAAATGCTCACTGCTTATTGACAAGGAGAAGAATTCAGGATAGGTCTGAAAGAAATCTCTAAAGCAGAGGTATCTGCCTACCTGTGAGCAAAGTGGTCGTAATGTTGGGGTCTTACTAAATTGGCTCCCACTCCTGATTATGGACCTGTCCTCTTCAGAGARCTGCTTCACCCATGGCTTCCTGCCCATATTTTTTTTAACCAGCAGTGCTTTTGGGTAAGTTTTACCAACTCTGAAAGAGACTTGATGCTTGGGAGGAGGTGGGATGGAAGCATCTTGGCCTTCGGTCATTCTAAATTATCTCTAAACCGCTGCAATGCTAAGTTCAATCTCAAGAGATGTGATCRTTTAGTGATGCTGATGCTAAAGTATGTTTCTAACTAGTGGAAACCTTGGGAGGAAGAAAAAATATTTCATCCAAGTCTCTCTGTGTCATAATGGTTAYGTTTTTGGAGTGAGAGGCTGAGATGTCCGTTTTGGTCCTGTTTGGATTCTCTCTGCAGTTATTCCTGTTATGGTTGAACCATCTGGTCCATACCACATATCCAAGGGCTCTGCACTCTCCCTGATGGAGGCAGTGGTATAACCAGTAGGATTGTTGATGTTGGAGGCACAGCCCCTCTGACCACCCCATGTACTTGCTTTTGTTACAGAAAAGCCGGCGACCAGGCCGACGACTTGGCCGACACCCGTGCCAACAACTCGGCCAACAACTCGGCCAGCACCCGCGCCAATGACTCAGCCAGCACCTGGGCCAACAACCCGGCCAACAGCTCCTCCTACACCCAGGCCAACTCAGCCTGCACCCAGGACAACGCCTCAGCTGACACCAAAGCCAACCACAAGGTACGTGCCAGTGACAAGGCTGGTCACAACACCGGTGACGAAGCTTCCACCTCCAACACCACCTCAGCCTACAATAAGACCTACGCTACCACCACAAACAACTCCTCTGGTAACAACTGAAGAGCCTTCGTACGTTCCCGTCGAAACGACATCTTCCCAAGGAATTATAGATGACAACAGGATCCAGCCTGAACCCCAGAAGCCCCGAGGAGATGTGTTCAGTAAGTCATTTTCCGTATGCTTTCATTTTTCAAAGCTGTAGATCCAGTGAGGTGAAAGCATGCATTGTACTGTTTGGGTTTTTTGGAGCATTGTACCATTGAGAACAGAGGAATTAAACTGAAAATAGTCATGTGGCAAAGCTGCACAAACAGTTGATTTTATTACCTAACAAAAATTTGGCATGGAAGTTTTGAATCAATTACTCAGAAAATGTGTTTGTATTTTTCACCCCTGAAATTGTGTATATGTCCTGTAGGAGTACTTAATCATGCTTTCAGATGCAGGTTTTAGGGAAACGGAAGACATTTTTTTGGAAAGTATTGAAGTGCAACATAACTCAAACTAGTTAATGGATTCAAATTCAGAGAGTTGAGAGCCACTCTTTAAAGTATGACTACAGCTTTAAGAATGGTAAAGGAATGGTATCATGTCTAATTACTTAAAGTCTATGTGACCTATTTTGTATGGGTTCAAATAGTCTCAGATGTTCATGACTAAACAATGGGAAAAATGCATAAAAATAGCATAGAGGCTAATTTTATGGATGTCTCTGTGGAAAGGGCTACATGAAAAGCTGAAGATAGTAAAGATTCTCATAGCATGAGCACTTGTAATTTTAAAAGCCCCTCTGAAATCTGCAGCACCATTGTTGCCAGCTTGAGTGCATACCACAGAAGACATTACTGGCACTTACAGAGCTGTGCKTATCTGCCAAGAAATACTCAACACCCGATTTCATCTTTAGTTCTRCGGCTAATTTTAGAGACAGGCAGGGTGTGTTGGATCAACTTTTCTCCTTCAGCTTTCGTACAGTAGAGCTGCTGAAGCAATGTAGTAGGAGGAAAAGTTTGCTGTCTCAGAGCAGGTGCACAAGCAACGTGGGAGGTTTTTTTTCTGGTTTCTTTGGCATCTGTGGGGTAGTTTCTTGGGCTTTGTTGGTGTAGATCATTACACAGTGTAATATTTTGTTCCTTGTAAAAGAGTTTTCCCTGTTACATTTTATCTGTTTTAGACAGATGAATTGAAAATGGAGAGAGAAGCTGACAAAGTTTGGAAGACAAATCCTGGTACTGCTTGGTAGACTRTACTTTTGCCTTCATATTCCATTAAAAACACAAAAATATATTTCAAGTGAAATTYTAAAAGGAAATACAGTAAAGACTTAACAAAGCTTAATATAATGGGAGCCAATAATCAAAAATACAGATTTGTGGAAATCGTTGTAGGCTCCAGCTTTGTGCTTCCCAGGTATCTCATGTTGCAAGTGTTCTCTGGAATTCTAAAGCAGGGGGATGGTTTTCTGCTATTTTCATGAACTCATAACAATCCTCTTTGTAAAGCTTATTATTTACAATTAGTCTTTCTGCATTGTCCCTAGAGGCSGGGTTTTGAAGCTAATGCTTACAATACATATTTTTTCAGATATAGGAGTTTGGAAAGTAGGAATGTAAAAGCTATTTAAGTGTGGCTTGGTCTGACTTCATCTTACATTCTGGTACATGTAACAAACACAGGATCCTTGCGAAGTGTTTATTAAGTATTGGTTTAGGTCAGCTGCCACCCTCTGGGGTTTGTCATGCACAGACACAGCTTCCAATGCTGCAGTGCACAGCACAGCAGGACTGACACTGGTCAAGCACCAGCAGCTGTTCCTGSCCTCAGCAGGTAATACAGGGACAGATAGTCCTCAGATCAAGTCAGCAGATGTCTGTCTTCAATCCCATAAAATGCTTTTTGATTCCCTGCAAGAGATATACTTGATATACATATATGTGTGACATAACTGTGTGACTGAAAGCATACTCCACTTGTGCTCCAGGTGATGCTGGTGGTGTGAGCCTTAATGAAGGTGGTGTCTTTTTCACTCCTCTCTCTTACCATTTTCTTTCCTTTCCACACAACTTCCTGCTGTTTTTTCCCCTCTTTTCTCTTCTGGATACTTTAGAAGTATCTGAGTAGTGGTCACCTCCTGCCTTCTCTTTGTCCAGAAGCATTTGTGTAGGGAGTGCACAAAAGCATTTGTTAAGGATCTGAAACCCACAGTCAAGTGCAGAACAGTTCTGTTTGAGAAGAATGTGCTCCTTTCTCTAAGAAAGCATTGCTTGTAAAGTGTTTCTTCACCTGTAGGAGTTTGTGGGGAAGAGGAGAAGTTACATTTCCTCATGTGGGATGTTTAGAAAAGCTGGTAGGAAAGTTCTAGCCACATGCATTAATGCACAGAGCATGGCTCTGCCTCTCCTCACTACTGCCCTTGTAAGGATAATACAGAGATATTTGTACATCCCCAGATGCTATCACACCAGGGGTTCAGCAGCATGGGAGCATTATGCCATGAGCTGCATTCCTGGGCATGGCTGGGCTGCAGACAGACCTGGCTGCAGGAGTGCTCTTGGCCAATGGCAAATGCGAGGTGAAGTGCATTAGCTGAGATGCCTTTCACATTGGCTTACAGATGGAGTTTGCAGGGTGGGTTGAGCATCAGATTCCTGATGGCCAGCCCTGCCCCTGCTCCAGGCCCATGGGAGAGCAGTGCCAGACTCTGTTTGGCTGCACCTACTCAATGTGAGCTCAGAACTGCAGTGCTCCCACCAGGTGTAAGCCAGTGCCTCCCAAAACCATTCCTCACAGCCAGGCACACCGTTAAACAGCCCTGGCGTTGAGACACTATGGGATTTCAAACTGGAATAACTTGTAACATTTAGCTAACCTTTGACTTGCTTCTTAGCTGCTTCTTTAGACTTGCTATGTGGATGTGCCAAACCCTCCCCACCTCCAAAAACATTCGTGGACTCTTCACTTGCCTCTGTATTTCCTCAGGGAAGGGGAGTTTTGAAATATTTCCTTCAGCTTCTTTAAAGCTGTTGTTATTTTATTCCCACCTGCATCAGACATCTTCGCAATATTCCTGAGTTGTGGATATTAGCTAAGTTTTTTGGCTTATACTGATCTTCTTTAGATTCATTTCTCCACATCAACTCCTTCTCCAGTTAAAGCAGCAAAGAAGCCAGTTCTCAAAAATGAATTTGCACTGTGGTCCCCATATGCCTGCCTGGAAAGAGAAGAAAAAACCTYGCTCTTGCTGCCTTTATTTGTTTCCCCCTAGAGAATACAGGCAGCAACTGATAGTCTTCTAACTCATTTTCTTRGAAAACAGAGGAGAAAATCGATACTAGATCCGCTCAGGTGATGAARTAGGATTTGACTTCAGTTTTATTAAGTCTTCAGAATAATTTGTGTCATCTTAGGTGGCTGCTTCCTTCTGTGTCTCCCAAGGGTTGTTGTGTTCCAAAGAGTCACAAAAGGCAGTGTTTTATCACACAGGGATGGGCAAAACCCGTCACAGAGAGACTGTGCCCAGCAACCACTGGCAGKTCTGGTCTTCCAGCCATTAGCATCTGCTGAGGACCTCACTGTTTAAGGTTGTTTTCAGYTAGGTTATCATGTGATACATGGACATTTCCTTTTCCCCCCGTGGGGCTCTGAAGCCTCAGACAGGCTTGGAGAAAGCAGCAGTGCTGTGCTCTGCCATCAGAGTTGCCTCGAAATGCAACTTTCRTCAGGCAGTCTGTGGCAAAGGGGCCACTGGCTGCTGCACAGGTGTCCTGGTGTACTGAACCAAATCCTTCAAATCCTGGTGCTTTAGGATTGGTCCATATTGGGAGTAGAAATCTGCTGGGGCAAATGTACTTTTTGTTTTCTGCAAGCATCTCTCAAATTCTAATTTTTTGTCAGTTATCCTTTTCCTGGGCCACCTTGGTGACTCCTTGCCCCCTGTTTTCTCCSTTAGTCGTTATTTGACCTGCTCATCCATGCACTGAGTAAACTTGACCTAGGCTTTCACTTCAGAGTTCTCTCGAATGTGCTGCTTTGCTTGAAGTGAGCTGAGGATCAGTGGAATTGCTCTGTTCTTGTCTTGCTCTGAAATTGTCTGCAGTGACCATGAGCACAAATGATAAAAATGCTGATAATGTTACTTAAATGCCTTTGCAGTTTTTGAAACGTACTGGGTTGTTGCTTTTCTTTAGATGCTTTACTCRTTTTCTGTAAGTGCCTGGAGTGACTTTGGGGAGCTGCTTTTTTAGAGAACAAAAAATTAGTATTTTTTGAAATGGAATTCCTACACTTGGCCTTTGAACCACTTAGTCAGATGCAGACAGTGGAATCTGGCACCAAGGATAATCTTCTCCTGATATGGATATGGGGGGAATGGCAATGAGAGAGGAATGCAGTGATAGCTTAATATTTAACTATTTCAGGACTGATACAAACTACAGTGAARTGCAGAGGAAACTTGTCTAGATATAAGAGTCTAACAAAGAGGATAAACTTCTCAATAAAACTATGAATTTCTGCTRCCATTGGGATCTGGATGATAAGCAGTAAAACCATAAACTTAAAGGAAAATACTAGATATCAACAGAGCAAGAACAAAACCCCTTATCTGTGTTAAAAGACAGTTCAGCGGTTTTCCTTCTTAGCCCTTAGTGGAGCTGAAAACATTGTAATTAGGAAATGTTTCTCATAACAGCTATTAAAATTGTAAAGATTGGATTAAAACTTGATTCTTTCTTTTCTTCCTTTCAGTGACTGAAAAGTCCTTAGTGCTGTAAGTGCAGTTTTGTGATCTTGAAGCTGTTGAAAAATGGGAAGTAATAAARGCAAAGAATGGTGGGGTTGTTATTCCTTGATATCATTAGAGTAGCATTATTTTACAATAGCATTTAATTTGTCTTTAGTGCTCTGGCACTCTTTAAAATGTATTTGTCTTCATGTTTAAGCATTTAAGGTAGGTGCTTTTTTCCTATTGGTATTCTGGAGTTTAATCATAACATCTAGGAGTCTTACAGGTCCCACCCTCACTCTTCCAGCTAGTTTTGTCAGCAGATCTGATGTGCAAGCTTCTGTAGACTCCTTGTTTTAGCTGTGTTTCCCTGAAACTCAGCTGGCACTCTGCACCTCCTGAATGGATGTCCATAGAAAAGCAGGCAGGTTACTTTGCAGAAAACCTCCTGCAAAGAGAAATTCCAAGATGCTTGATTTCAGTAAATCTTAATGAGCCCTGTAATTGCAAGGTTGAACTTCAGAGTGGTGGCATGCTGTCACTGTTGTATCTCTTCTTATATGTGAACAGTACTGGAGAGAGTGCTACCGTGAAAGCCCTTCCTGAAATAATTCTTACTGCAGAATTTGGATCTGTAGTTTTARGAAACATATCCTGGACACTGTGGGTGTCTGAACAAAAGGGTGAAGTGTACCKCTCTGTTGCCTCTTCTTTTTAGCTGATTGTATATCAAAATCTTCCGTGGAGGAAAACAGGACTTATTCTTGTTTTCTCAGTCTAACTCACCTCTGGACTACCCTTACTTTTTAGCTGTTTTCTACTAATTCTGTGTGAGATCTCATCACTTGTGGGAATTTTCTGAAAGTGGGATATAACAGCTTTCAATCATAACTGTTCAGTCAAAAAATCTTTGTCCTTTTCTGTTGTTTTTAGCAAATGGGAAGCTTAGTCATGATTACGGTGTGGAATGGAATTGTAGTTACAGTGCAAAAGCRGTGTTTTTTGTAAGCCAGAGAAATGCATTATTAATAGTAGTAACAATTACCAGTATCATGAAGTTGCACTCCTTTTGCTTTTGTAACASCAAAGCAGTAATTATTCTGTTTATTACAAACGAGCTGATACGTATGTACATACCTTGGTACACTCCCAAACTCAGCAATTAGCAAGTAAATAAAAAAGCCCTATTGTTTTCCCAAACGTTAAAAAAGCTGTGAAGAAATTACTGCTATACGGTTATTTAATATTTTCCCCCAGATTCGTGCATCTATGAAGTTGTTAGATCATGARTTTTGAGAATATGGTAGTGTTGATACATTGGCTCACTCAGAGCTTGTAAAACTCTCCAAGAAAAAGAAGCCAAGTTTCTATTTAACAAGCTTTATCAAACCATTGAAGTTAAGTGAAAAAGCACACTGATACACTGCATAAAGTACACAGAAAGGGCTTGGAAAGCTTACAGAAAATAACTGTGCCAAATACTTTCTCCCACGATCTCCACTCAACATATTGGTTGTCGTGGCAAGAAGTTTGCATGTGGGTCATATTTAGAGTCCTGCATCTCTTACGGTAACCCTTRTTTCAAACTGAGTGCACATTCCTGTAATTAGGTCTGAGCACTGAAGTGACTGTATTAAAGCACTGCAACACATTTTTCTAGAAGTTCATTAAAAAAGTGTTTGGAAAGGACTCTAGGGGAATTTTTGAAAGAAAAAGTTTTTGCAGAGCTTTAATTATAGGCAGAGATACCAACCTCAGTTTGGGGAATGCTTGTGTGTGTGCACAGATGTAACAGGTTTGTAGAAGACAGAAGGGCATTGGAAAGGATGCTTTAAGAAGTAAATTGAAGTAGTTTGGAAAATAATTTCCTAATGTGGGGGGATTGTGGGTGATGGCTGTGAGGTTCCTCGTGGGCTTGAAAGAGCAGTTCAGTGCTGACAGGGATTAAGGGTGAATGATGCTTTTATATGACTGAATATAATGTTTGGGCGTAGATGTACTGCAAGGCAATTTTTGGCCTACRCTGTGTGGACTGTGCACATTTGTAAGGTTTCTTTCATGTTAAGTGTCAGAGCTTTTAATCACAACTTTTAAGCCCAGATGAAACAAAGCACCAAACATACTATTTTCAAGCCAGGTATCTTTAAAATTTAACAGTCCTYTAATACCAGTCAACCTTATGTCTGAAGCTGTTTTGAGCATTAATATCCTGGACTACAAATAGCCATAGTCTAAAATCTGCAAAGGATTCAGAAAGAAAACAAAAAAGGGGAGGTTTATGATTCAAATAATGACTATTATATATATATATATATATATATATATATACACACACACTATCAGTTTCCTACAGATTTTGAGCTTTTTAACTATTTGTTTTTATTGTATAAATTTTTTACTCAAGATCTCTAGCCTAGAATAGTACTTTAAAAATAGATTAGAGTCAGCTTATTTTGTCCCAATTTCAAATTCTTTTGTGCTTTTCTGTCTTCTCACTTTAGACAAGCTCTCACAGCAGTGCTATTTTCAGGTTGTCCTAGTGCAAAAGAAGTTCCTTCTTAACCTTTGGTTTGATTTTCTGAGAACAACAGTCCTTTCAGTCATCTTAATTCTTCTTGTTCTCACTTGCCCCTGAAGTCTGTAGAGACATTAATAGTTATTTTAGCTCTGGAAATGGAAAACATGTCAAGTTTTCCATAGATAAGGCCCKTACAAATACCTCAGGTGTCAGAGGTGCCTATAAAATCTAAGAACATGTCTGAAGCACATTACTACTGGTATGAATTATGCATTAGACCTGTGTCTAAAAGAGGAATTTTCCAAGACAGCTCTATTCAGTGCAGTCTGTTTCTCTCTAGCTGACAGCTGTCCATCAGGCAAGAAATCTGCGTGAGACTTACACAGACTGGCACAGCATCTTCAGAAACACATGGGAGTCTTTGTGGYCACCTGACTTTGGCAGCCATCACTCCCACAAAGACCTCATAAATTTCAGGTTTTCCTGGATGCTGAATGTCTAGTAACCTCTGGGGCTCTCAGTCACCGAGGGCTGTTCTTTTCCTTGCAGCTGGGAACAGCAGCTGAAGGACAGGCTGTGCTGGAAAACAAGAAGTAYAATTACAGTTGAATCCCTGCTTCCACTAGAGCTCCTCCTTCTCAACTCTCAATACAGCCCCGGTAATTGTTTTGGGAGCTCTAATCCTTTGCAGATAGATGGATGCACCTTCAGCTGCCTTTCAAAGGTTAAGTGCATGGGGGGCCTCTTCCAAGTACTGCTGCCTCCTGTCCAGGTTCTCCAATAAATGTCTGTGGAAGGGTTGAGTGAGGYCTTTCATGTGGCTTTATTTTATTGAGAAACCGCTCTCTCTGAAAGTGCATTTGGAGAGGAATAGTGTGCTTTGAGATTAAAGCTTTCCCCCCTTGTTAGAAAGGAGCTTTCATTCAAAGGGGCTGTAGGAGATTTGGAATCACCTTTTACAGTGCTTAGGTAAATGTTACAATRTAAATCATAAATCACATAGGTATAAAGTTTATGAGTCTTCGTGTCAAATATAATTAAATATATTGAAATCTGCAGGAAAAGCACAATGCCCAGAGCTGCTGTGCTGGTTTTTGTTAAAGATAAAGCTACTTAGTGACCTACTTCCTTATCTCATTCATTTTTTCWCACAGTTCCACGCCAGCCTGGAGTGAGCAATAATCTGTTTGAAATACTTGAAATTGAAAGAGGGATTACAGCTGATGAATTTGAAGCAAACGATGACCCAGGTAAAGACCATGTCWCCTATTCAGGACCTAGGGTTTAGGATTTTTTGAGATTTCTTGGGAGTTCATACACTTTTACAGGACTTCTACATCTTGTGCCGCTCTAACTATGCTTTATAAAAACTCAAAAACCCAACCCCTTTCCTATGTGATCCTTTACACTTTCCTAAAAAATTTAGCACAAAAATAATGTGAACTGTTAATAGTACCGGGGTCCTTTTTATTGTTTTAGTAATTTTCAGATTCTTTTCCTCGGAAAAGAATTTTTCCTCCTTCTTCTACATTTGCTGACACTTCTTCACATCTTCTACACTTGCTAGTGTCAGCCACATGGGCAATTGAAAACCAAAACAATCTGAGTAATTTCTGGGGTTTTTTTGTCATCTGCTCTGTTCTGCCAGGTGTGCTGGTGCACAGCTGTAATTTTGATAGTGGACTCTGTGGATGGATGAAGGACAAAGACGATGACTTGCACTGGGAACCAGTGAGAGATGCATCAGGTGAGTGATCTGTGAACAGTCACATCCTGCAGCTGAGGAGCCACCCAGGCTTGAGGCTGATGGCAGTTCCTCCTTTAGGACAAATTACCTGGCTTCTGTGACCTTTAGAGCTGGGATATATTTCACACCTACACCTCTTCTGTGTATAAAAAGAAAAACTGAGGATTCCCARCATGAAAGAGCAATTGAAAATTTACGCTTTTATCATCTTTAAAATTGGAATGTCTCTGAAGGAGTAGTAAATGTAGCCAGCAAAAGTTTGTCTTAAAAGAATCTGAAAAAAAACAAAAATGTGGACTAGAGAGGAACTTTCATTAGTGGTGAAACAAAACTTTATAGTTTTTTCAAACTATCATGTAAACATAATTATTTCTCTRTCCTAGCAAAATTGTAGAAAGTATTGGAAATAGTCTGTTCTGCTGCCAGACATAATGTTCTGATTTAACCTYTCAGTTTGATTTTATTGAATTCTACTCCAAGCTACAGCAATCTGTGTATAGGAAAAACGTTAAATAACTGGAAGGCAGATAAGTTAAGTGTTCAAATGCAGAGCCTTCTGAAAATGGGCTTGTTTGGGATGGTAAAAAGTGATATTACAGCAAGCATTTGAGGGGAGTGTGTATGAGCTGATTACAGTGTAGGAGCCTGGCATCAGTGCTGGTGTCAGCCACACAAAGGACTCTTCCCTGTGCCCCTTCCCTCCGCTGTCCTGGGCACTGGGATGGATTTTGTCCCTCTTAGTTTTAGAGTGGCATTGAGGGGTTGCTGTCCTTGCCTGCCGACCCTTCCCCCAGCAGCGCCGGGGATTAGACACACATCCCTGGCTCCGTAATGATGGGATTACTCCATCCCCGAGGAGCAGCCTTTGAAGTGCACAAAGCTCCCGTTCTGTGAGGGATGGCGGAAGGAAGGAAGGAGCCGTGCTCTCAGGCGGGGAAAAAGGTGAAGGAGGGCCATTTTTGTCACGCAATGCCTGTCATAGCGGTCTGGCCTTGTGCTGCCACCCATGGGACAGTCATTTGCCACCGCAGCAGGTGACCTGGCACCTTTTCCAGGCTGTTAGGCTGGCTCAGGGGAAGTGCTGTCTTCACTGGCTGGGCAGGGGTCCCCCACACAGGCTGCTATAGTTCTTCAGGAGATCCCTGTGACACAAAAACTCTCGGGAATGGCTGGGAGAGCAGAGCTCCTACCTCCTGCAGGTGAGAAAACAGGCAGGTGTCTCCTGCTTGCAATCTGGTGCTTAACAAAAAAAAAAAAAAAAAAAATGACTACACATAATCCATACTCTTTTTTTCAAAGAAACCCCATGTTTTCAAAGTCGTCACTCAAAGTGTAGTCATCATCTATACTCAGAAATTGTTGTTAATACTGTTAGATTCAAGAACTGTGATTTTTAACTGGCTCTTTTCCCCTGTATTGCTTTGCAGTAGTCAGGGACAAACTCAGCTTTTTATTTCCTGTGTATGTTCGGCTGCTGTTGACACAACCTGTTAAAACCAGTCCCTTGAAGTCACCCACCCACTCCCTCCTGTCTGGAACACCTTGTTGCAAGGATTTATTTTCACAGCTTGTTCCTGAGTGTTTGCTTTCACCTTGCAAAGTTTGCCATTTATTGGTTTATCAGAACCTTCATTTTGAAAGGTGGTGTACTGAAGCATTATAAGCTTATCTTGCATGCAGAAAATGCTGATTTGAGGGGACCTTTTCCTGCAGGGGCTTGCCTACAGATATGTTTGCTTTGTGCTTACCTAAATCTGTTTCCTATTGATTGGATTCAGCCACAATAACTATCTGAAAAYGATGCACTTAATAAATCAGTACTTTCATAGTGATTATAATTGTATCTTCAGYAAACAGGTACAGTTATTTAAACTTTATTATGCTTATTTTAGCACTTAGTGATGTTGCTGCAAAAACAATGCATTAAAGAAAAAGAGGGGAAAAAAAAACCTYCCTGAGAAAATAGCCACCAAAAGGCTTTAACAGATTCTTGGACGAGTGGATCCCACTTCATGGCTAAATGCTGATCGAAGGCCCTAGACAGCAGCATAGTACTTTGCTTTGTTAAATCTCATTGAGACCAAATAACTTAAAAACTTACGTAGAAGTGGTGAATTGGAGACAAGGTTGGCTTTCTTTTAAGTGTGTGACAAGCCCTGGTGCATTGTCATTAAACCTTACAGCTTTTGAGGGAAATCATTGTGACTTTCAAAGAGAAGCTTTCAAAAAATAAAGCTCTGGTTGAGTAGTAGCACAGAGACAATTAAAAAATACTTTTATATGCTATTTGGTTGTGCGTGTCAACAATGTTACAAACCCCCAATATTTCTACATCTTTGGTTTTAGTTAAGGAGGCTAAAAATGCCACCTTTCTTAATGAACTTAATGTGAAGGTGGCATTTTTAAATTTAAAAAAACTACCTAAAATCTGATCTTATAAAGAAAAATGATTCTTAGATTCAGTGTAAGATAAGGTGGTTATGTTTTTTTTTTTTTTACTTTTGAACCTTTCCCCCTTTGGTGATTTCAGATTTGAAAGGTTTTTTACCCACCTCGCAAGTGTCAGTGAAAAGTACAAACAACAAATACAAAAGTAGAAACAAAAAATACAAAAGTACAAACAACAAATACATCTTGGTTTTGTCCAAGATGTGAAATCTTATTTAGCGTCATTCTGAGTGTTGGTCTGAAAGGTGCTTTTTTTCTTTTGAAGTGCAATGGATGTTGCCACACCTGAGATTCTCTGCTTCTCATGCTCTGAGTGTTTTCTGGAAGGCACTTTSACTTCATACATGATAAGAGATGATAATAGTAGGGTTTTGCATTGAATATGTATGTTCACTGATAATTTCCTACTTGTAGAGTAGACTTCAGGGTTAACAGCCATGTGGGAATCATTACTGCTTCTTGTTTTGGTATCTAATCTAGATTAAGAGTTTAAATTACGGTTAAATAAAAGAGGCTGTCTGGGTTGCAAGTGGATATGCTTTGAGACTTAACCTGGTACACAGTTCCCAAACAAAAGGCAGGGGAGAGAGCCATAGCTCGGTTACATGATAACATTTATTCTGGTCTCTTTTATCTATCCAAGAGCAAAACATTGCATCTTGGAAGGTGCAAAAATGTGCATGGTGGCTTCAATGCTCCTGTGAGTTTAAAATCGTGCAATGTCCAAGGRGTTGTCAGAAATGAAGGAATATATGAGAGTTTAGTTTTTGAGAGAGGTAGTGTTTGCTTYRTCARGAAGAAATTAAGTGGGCAACACCTAGSCTGGCACTAATGCACAGAGAAGGGCAGCACTGTAAATCTTACCCTGCAGAAGGCAGAGGCACTAGTTCTGGTTCTATATGCCTTACTTAAATCTCACTGGACCTTGTGGACACCTTTTATTTTTTAATGACTCTTGTGCATTTGGTCCTGCAATGTAGTAGCATTAAAAATACCAAACAAAACCCCCCTACTAACTGCTTTCTCCACTGCAGGGGGACAGTATCTTACCATCTCTGATCACAAAGGCAAAGAAGGAAGAGTGGCACATCTTATCCTGCCGTTAGGTCACATGGATCAGGCTGGAGACTTGTGCCTGTCCTTTCGGCATAAAGTGCCTGGGCTGCATTCTGSTGCCCTCCAAGTCTTTGTGAGGAAAAATGGTGCTCATGGCCCAGCTGTCTGGGGGAGAAATGGTGGCCATGGCTGGAGACAGACACACATAACCCTACGAGGAYTTGGCATCAAGAGTGTAAGTACTGGTGTTTGTGTTGCTTTTTGGGTTTTTGCATGAAAAGCTGAAGACACTTCAACGGTGTAACACTGCAGTTCGTCTTCTGGGTTCAGTTCCAGTCTGTTTTACTACTTTGATCTCTGCCAGTGGAATCACAACACAGATATGGGAGTCATTGTGCGGTTTTTTTTTCAATTAGTTTTACACACAAAGGAAAATAAATCACAGCTTCCCCAACAGAATCATAGCACAGGTTACTGTGTCATTTTCTGAGCTACCTGGTACAACCCATTTTAAGGGCATCACCTTAAATTTATTAATTTAATTAAATTTATTTAATTAAATTAATTCTCCCCTTAAAAGGGAAAGAACAGCCTCATGGACAGAAGCATACTCTATACAGTTTTCAAAAAAAAAGCCAGTGTCAAGATTCCTCATGAATAATACTTTGAATAATRCAGTGTCATGAAATAGGAAGAGTCATCCCCTGTGGATTAGTAACTGGCTAAACCAGGGCAAAGATACTGAAAATAAGTAACTTCTGGTAATGCRTGGAGATTACATGTGCAGTCACATGTGGTTTTATGCCCTTTAGCRTAGCTGCAGCTGCTCAGGCCAAGGAGGTGGATGATGATCTAACAATGCCCATAACACAAAATGGTTTAGTGCAATCGAAAGAAGTTGTTTGAAGTGCGATGGAGAATCTTTTAACACCTGGAAAGCTTAGAAATATTGTGTGATTAACTGGTATCAAAACCTCAGTGTTATTCTTTAACCTGTGAAGGCAGTTTTTATTTCACATCTGAAGAAGTGGCTCAGGTACYTAAGGGGCTGTTTTATTCTGACTTAAGTATCAGGTGGTGTGAAAAGCTTACACCTCATAATGTTCATGATGGGAGCAGGCTGCAAGACGCACAGCATCTAGTTCTGAAATTAATACTGAAGCTGCAATTACTGCAGATAATTTTCTGGAAACTTTACCTCAGCAACAGTAACAAAGACACCTGACTTTGTTGGCTGTAAATGAATGTCACACTGAGACTGTCACATTTGTAATTATATATTTGCTATATTCGTACCTTTTTTTTTTTTCCTGAATTTATCACTCTGATAGTCCTTACTGTCTCAGTTAGTGTGAATCACTAATGTATTGTCTGGCAGAAAAGCCCTCAAACATGAGCAGCAATTCCTCTGCCTCTCCTGACCCCCTCAGCAGTGTGGTAGTGACCTCCCTGACATCAGACCACGGACTGGAGCTGCCTCTTGAGTGTGYGGTGTTTGGGATCTCCTCCAGCCARCCTGGTGTGCCAGGGCTGCTGACCTGAGTCACTGTGACACTTATCCAGAGATCAGGGAGGRAAGGAAAGCTCTTAAGTAAGCTGGGAAGGCTTCTGCCAAAGAGACGTCAGGAAGAAATGGAGAAGTTTTATTTTCTAGCTAATTAAAAACCAAAGGCAGCTAAACAGTAGTGATTTTGATGTGGCYTACTGAAAACCTGAGGGGAATTTGAATGGAGACAGGAATAATCCATTAGAAAGTGTGATGAAGCATTTCTGTGTATTTTTTTTTTTTTAATCCCCCACTCAAGTTGTTCTGTTTCTCTTCCTAGGTTATTTTCAGAGGCGAGAAAGGGAGAGGAAGAGCTGGGGATATTGGACTAGATGATGTGGTCCTGAGGAGAGGACACTGCTCTGAAGAGCATTAGCCAAGACAGTGGACCAGCACAGTCATCTCCTCTTGTCCTTCTCTTGCAGTTCCTACCAAACTTTGAARCAGAGCTGCATAGTTTTCCATGAAGAAGAAAAAGTGGGAGACCAACAACTTCTTTGTGGTCTGCTAAGTGCAATCTCATGGAAATTTCACTTAAATACATGGAGAACACCTCCCAGGACTGAGGAAATCCAGTCTCCGGGCTGGTTCTTTCTGTTAATCCTTACCCCTAAATAATATTTTKTATGTAATAACTTTGTCACCCATTAAGTCTGGTGAGTGCTCACAGGAASAGCACTTGTGAAAAAGGGAGAATTAATTACAAATGGTGGCAAAACAAAGCTCAATCTCAAAGTTTCAGTGTTGACTGACAGTCGTTATCTTCCCATAGTGCTACTCTTTCACATTGATTTGTGTGAGTCACATTGGATTAGTAAAAGCCTGGACSTGAACTTTGGCTTACTGCCACTGACATTTGAAGAAGGGTTTGTCATATATGAAAATGCATTTATTTTGCTGTTGCATCTGTATTAACCAAAACCAGTTAWCTAGAGTAGGCATTGCATCCTGTAATATTTCTACTGATGTGTTTTGTGTATATGTGTATGGTAAACCTATTTATGTTTTTAATATTTACAGACTAGTTGCAAGGTAATTGGCAGCTGTACTTTCTTTTTGWGCAAGACAGGARTTCAGCATCTCCTTCAGTCCCGCTGGTCATGCCAAGTTACCAAAGTCAGTCRATGGTGCTCACTGAACACTGCTGGTGCAGTTTTTCATGTTGTCATGTCCTGGAGGCAAAAGACCAAACACGTACCTGATGTAAACTGGCAGCTGATGCCGTACAAGTTTGCATTGAGCTCAATCCTGCAAGAAGCTCCTGGTTCAGCTGAAGACTGAGCAGCCAGGAGAAGATGAACTTGGATCTTGTAAAGCTGAGACTGTTGGCACCCCAAGGAATGTTCCCTTCCCGCAGGGAGCGCACACCTACGCATAAGGAAAGAGGGCAGCTGCATTAACACTGTACAAACAACTCCGACCGTGAAATGCCTCGAGTGATCTTTGTCAAATGTCCATATGCCACCCMACCTTCTGTATATAACAAATATTTTATTCTTTAGAACTAGAACAACTATTAGCTCTAGTTGGAACAAAGTATTTATCAAAACTTTGTACTAATTTTATAGTTACGTATCATGCGTGTGCTGTGCAGTTTCCCAGGGAGTTCTTCTGTTTGGTTTGGAATTAAGTGAGCATYATTATCATCATCACTACTAGTAATTCTAAAATTGACAATTGTAGCCTTTAAGAAAATGACGAAAGATTGGTAAAATGTTGTTAGTGGTGCCTTAAAGCTTCAAAATATATATAGAAGAAATAGATCCCAGTTCTTTTAAATACTTAAATAGTGTAAAATAAATGTCAGCTGCATATCATATTCAGTCTTGTACAAAGGTCACAGAGATTGATTTGCAAGACCTYAGAGGTCTTATTCCAAAGCCCTGTTTCTGAAAAAGTACTAGTCTGAAAATACTTTTCCCATCCTTGATCCCCTTGAACAAAATAAAATGTGTAGAGTAGAAGTGTATGTGATTAGAGTCTCCTTCCAAACTGCATCAGCAAACATTTTGAAAAGGAAAAAAGCAATGCATTTGTAAACATTAAATTTTAAACTATTTTGCTTCAAGTATGATTGTCATATTTTTCTCTTATGTTACTTTGTGATATGTCAGAAATATCTGTGAATAATTGAAATACCTTGTTTTTATTTTAAAGTATTCAGTAAAGGAAACTTACTTGTTACTAATTGGGACTCTTGTTTTCATTTCTAGATAAAAAGCCTCATTTTCAGTGCAGTGAAATCAAACAAAAGATGAYAATCCAGCCAAAGTGAAATAGCTCTTACGATGAGATTTAAAAATCAAAATACGTTTCACTGTAATATGAAGAGAGCACTATATGTATTAGTCAGAAGGAAGAATGACAATTTTCAACTTAACTTTAAGGGAAGTCTCAGAGGTAATTTAAGAACTTCTGCAATATAAAATAYTCATTTTACAAGAAGCAGCAGCTACCATTGGTCCTCGCTCTGCTCTACCGTGCAAACTGTATTTATGAAAATATTTTATCAAATCTGTAACATCTTATAAGCTTATGATTGCATGTTTGTAAAAGGCATGTTAAACTTCTTTCTGCAACGAGATTGAAAATAAGATTCTTCATAAATGACAGGTGCCAGGACCAGTGGCAGTGTGCATTTATGCGTTCCCTGACATCAAAATCAGCAGAAGACARGATCAGGATCAGGATCAAGACAAGATTTTTGGTTCCATATTCCATTCTGTACAGTCCCCTCCTCTCTCATCAGAGCCACGTCAATAAATCACTAGCGAGTGCTTTTAGTGAAGCTCACTCACTCTGGAGAAAAGCTTCCCTCAGTTTCCTTCAGTAAATTATCTGTGACTTGGAGGTCAAAGCATTGGTTTTTCTATAGTTGGAGATTACAATAACCACCCTGATAAGACTCAGATAGTCATGAGTATACCASCCTGAGCAGAAGAACGTTCATGACAGCAGCCTCCATCATCCTGCTCTGTTCTGCTGGAGAAAAGSTGCCACAGTAGCAGCTGCCTCCAACCCATGTGCCAGGTCTCTTTATATGCACCCCAAGAGAAGTTATTTCTCCTTGCAAATGAAGCACAGTGTTTATCAGAAAGATAGCTTGATCAAAAATCTCTGGATTTTACCAATGCATTGTGACAATCACCTAGAAAACCTGTTCACTCTGCCTTTAAAAATTTGCAGGAAGAAACTATAGCTGCCTTTAAAATTTTAGTTGCGAATGTTTCACACACAGAGTTATTAATTAGTGAGTGAAGTCCAGTTAAATATGATGCAWTTTTTTTTATATTGATCTGTCTTTTAAACACGAACTTACCAAAGTTTTCTTGTTGGGTAAAACACTTTATTACCTGGTTTCATCCTGACGTCCTGTAGTCACACAACATTTTATGACTTCAGCTTTTCCACATCAATTAAAAAGAGAAGTTGAACCATGCACTGGCATAAAGGAAACTGCAGCTTTAAAAGAAATATGAAACATTTTATTGGTAAGTTTCAATAATGATTTGAAAGATCACTGCATTAACTTTCAAAGTCTGAGGAGCTTTCTCTCTCAGACCCCACTTGCTGCATGTAGGTGCAATACATGAGGAAATGCATTTGGAATGTCTGTAACACGCCATTTGTTTGAAATGCCAGCAGACTAAAATCAATCAGGGACCACAAAGACAAGTTTTCATCAGTACAGACTGAAGCACCTCTAGATTTCAGAAACCAGCTCCGTGTAAGTTTCCAGGATTGTAAGTCCAAAATTATTTAAATCACATTCTAGAGGCTCTGCTGTAACCATTTGTCCTTGTCCACTTGTGTAACCTCTTCTAAACCCTGTTCCTTTGCTTTGAAACAAAGCATCCTTTAGACAACATTTTACCCTGGTTGCTTTGGGCCAAGATAGACTACTATTTGGGAAAGGAAAAAAAAGCCCAACCAAACACATGGTATTGATAAAGAAAAATAAAGATAAATTTTTATTTATCTTTCTTTTCAAAGTTGAAAAACAGTCTGGGTTAACATTACTGAGATCAGGATAGTCAGATCAGGATTGATCCAGGATGTGAATGCTCACTGGACAGATGGTGTTCAGTTGCCTTTTTGCTCCAAAGAAATCTTTAATTTAATGGCAGAGAGCCAGATGGGACATCATGCTTACACATGCTTGATATATGTCAAAAACATAGATTTATTCCTCAGTTTCTTAATAACATGTCAAACAGCAGAGCAAGTTAGACCTGAATTTTCTGGATAAAGCCAGAAGCAATTCCTGGCTCTCCATCATTGTATTTCCTCAGTTTGCTTAAGAAATGTTAACAATCAACCAATTTTTTTCTTTGCTCTTAAGAAATATTTAACACCATTGAGTACACATGGTCATATCTTTGCCTCTCTGCTGTTTTCCTGCAATCCAACTACTAAAGATCTCCCCAAGCCTCCACTTCCATCAAACCASTCTTCTGCAGGTTTCTCAGAAACCACACACAAAAGGGCCATGATCTCTGAGTACCAGGGATCATTATGTGTGACGGTGTACACTCTGTGTGTGTACACATGATTATTGTGCCAGCAGGCTGAGGCTTGTGTTAAATGTTTGAGCAAGAGAAGCCAAGATCCATCTGGCACACAGGATAAGGATGCTCTTCTCTGTGACAGAGCCAAATCCTGCCTTGCTCTGACCATGAGTTACTACAGCACTTTTCCAGTAATTATTTTTAACTTAATACTTTGTGATTTCTTACCTTCTCTTCAGGCCAGGCTTAGTCCTCTGTCACACTTTTCTCCCAGGTTTTTGTCTTGCCATGCATTTCAACAGCCCATGTTCTCATTTCAGACTCTTCTGAATACTCTTGGTACTCATTTTGAGTTTGGCCAACACCTGGAAAAAGTAYAGTGTGCACTCAGAAAATCATTTTATTGCATTTTTATGCAATCACAAGTACTAAAATATAAGACTAGCACTCAAGGAATTTCAGGAAGACACCATCACTGCTGTGATACCAAAGCGCCCCAGCAGAAATGGAACCACATCACCTTGCCTTTTGCCCTGCCCGCATTTTAAGTAAAAAAGTTGAAGAAATGGACTCAGCAGATTTTTCCCCATTATCAAAATGTTCCAAGACAGAATTCCCTTACATATGAAGCAGGATTACTATGGTGTACATACCCTCCAGTTCAGTGCCAGTGTCTTTGAACTACAAAGAATAGGAAAAAAAAAAAAGCCTTTCAATGAAAATTGACTGATTTTCACAGCCCTGGGTTCAAATCTTGCACAAATGGGGAATGCAAGCAATCCTGTAACTGCACCGATTGCTACGTGACTGCAAAAACTGGACTCCATTTCTGGCCCTGAACTGACAAAGACTTGTGAGTTTTCCAACAGCCAGTCTGCCTGGAACAGCCTGGAAATGCAGCATCTCCAAACCACACGAGGCTGCCAACAGCAACCACGAGGTAATCCTGCAGCGTGCAAAATATTRCATGAGGGACATTTTCAAACCTTACTATCAAAAACGTGCTTGGAATGATGGCTCTCTGCTGACACTTAATGCAGACAGCCCATGCTTCTTGTTTCAGTGGCAACAGTTCCCTTTGGGGAAGAGAAACATCTTGTACTCCTGAGGGAGCTGCACAGAGCTGCAGCAGAACAGGCACAGGCTGCTCCAGTGCTCTCAAGCCTTGCCCAGCAGCCTTTCAGCGGAGGGGTCAGGCTGCTTGTGAGCTCTCCAGACACATTCAAGGGATGAGCAGAAATTTTCTCTGCACYTCTCCACACCCCWATTSATATTGCTGTAAGAAAGGTGACTAMACTCACCCMCGTGACAGAAAAGAGAAATGAGCAAATGCTGGTGTTGTGCACCCAGAGCAGGCAAATGCCACTCACAGGAACTCAAGTTCTCCTGCCACACGCTGTCCTCTTGGCACACAGAGACTCAGCAACCAGCCTAACCTGCAACAGCAGCTAGCTCAAAGCAGTGAGAATTAAAAGCTTCCACTATCCAGCATTATTGAAGGGGAGAAACATTATTAACAGGTTTAATTTGTCTTTAACTTCCAGAAGTCTGGACCTCCGACTTGGCTCTTTTGCCACTGTCACAGTCAGGTGAGACTCTTCAAACCCACCTGCCTTTGGTTTCTGTGCCACAAGATCAGCTCCTTAGTTCCTACCGTACAAAATGCTGTGCTTCAGGTTAAAATGCTACTCAAAGGACTGCATCTGACATCCTCTTGGGAGGGAACTGCTGGACAGGGCATCTCCAAGCTAAAAAACCCMAAACATATTGAAAAGGAACTTGGGCAGTTGTGAGACAAGCAAGTGCATCAGACACTGATKAATTCACCATGCTCCCTGAGCTATTTGTAAGTGATTTTTCTCAGTTTCTAGTTAATTTTTAACAGTTCCCTCTGCCCTGCCAAGCAGTTGGCACACTCACTGCACGTGCTCCACAAACAAACATCCAAGCAGCAGTTCAAAGTGGATGCAGTAAATTGAGCTTTTACTCAAAGTAAGAAAAATTGCTTAAAATCCTATTTCTCCTGTATATGAAAATGAACAAACACTTTTGCCTACATGAAAGAATTGAAATGCAACATCCCTCCCTTCATCACATCTTACTTTGCACTACAGGTGGTTTTCTTCCTGCCGAGGTACAACATGTCATTCCTATCTCATGTGCAGAGCTCTCCAAGGGCTCCAGAGTAGRTTCTTCAATTACACAAAGCTACCARCATTCCAAGGCTTTCACAGTGCATTTGCACCTACACAAACCAGGGCAGCATGAGGACAAGACCAAGGCAGAGCTCGCAGCCTTACATTTCAGGACAGTGCTGCTTTGCTGCAGAGCTGCCAGTCCAGCCCCCAGTGACACCAACCTGTCCAAAGCTCCTCGCAGAGCTGCCAGCAATTGTACAAACATTACTCTCAAAACACTGGCACTCACTGTAAAACTCAAGCTGCCTCCTCTAGTTCCAGTCATTGCAACCCTTTGGGATGGTGGAGAGGTTGTGCTGCTCGCTGCCAGCCCCAGCTGAGGGCTCTGACTCCTGGCAGGAGCCAATGCTGCCACTACTGCCCCAGCTTCAGTGAGAGCTGGAGCCCCCAGAGTGAACAGATTCAAACCAAATCTCTACAAATCAGACTGGRAGAATTCCCATTTGCCTCTGAGCCTTCACAGTTGGGTAATC